CTAACGATCTGACTACCGCTCCTAACGATCTGACTACCGCTCCTAACGTGGGCCTAACCACCCAGAGACCCAGGGCCCAAACCCACTTACACGGCTGGTTGCTCCAAGAGAGGGAGCTCGCCGCGTGGTACCTCCCCCGCCCACTCCAGCTGTTGCCCGAGCTCGTCCCCCATGCGCTCCTGCGTCGCGAAAGGCACGAAACTCGAAGTTAGAATTCACGAAAAAGGAAGAAACAAACGAAAGCGGACCGTGCTTACCAGGAGGAGCAGAACGTTTTTCTTCACGCTGTTACCACACGCTCCTCCTCCTCTCGCTCCTGCTTCACGAAAGGCACGAAACTCGAAGTTAGAAATCTCGAAAAAAGAAGAAACAAACGAAAGTGGACCGTGCTTACCAGGGAGCGTTTCTTCTTCCTCCCGCTGTCGCCGCGTGCTGCTCCACCTCCTCCCGCTCCTGCTTCACAGAAGGCACGAAACTCGAAGTTAGATATTTTGAAAAAAGAAGAAACGAACGAATGTTGACAGTGCTTACCAGGAGAAGGAGAGCGTTCTCTTCTTGAGCTCCCTTGATGGTGTTGCCGCGTGCTTCTCCTCCTCCTCCTGCATCACCAAAACAACGAAACTCGAAGTTAGAAATCTCGAAAAAGAGAAAGAGCGAATGAAATCGGACTGTGCTTACCAGGATAGGGAGAGCGTTCTTTTCTTCTTGACCTCTCTTGACGCTCCCCATCGCGCTCCTTCTGCACTAAGATACAAAACACACAAACAGAAAGTTAGTGAATCGTAAACGAAATACTACTGGTAGCTGAAATTCACGAGACTCACCAAGAGCTCTCCGCGCCGTGTGACTCCCTTGCGCGGAGTCAGCTCCGCATCCCGCTCCTTCTGCACCAAGACAGAGAGCACAAAAGAGATAATTAGTAAAACGAAAAGAAAATCTAGCTGAAGTCGACGAGACTCACCGCGAGAGCGAGAGCTTTCCGCGTGTGACTCCCTTGCTCGCCGTCAGCTCCGCATCCCGCTCCTTCTGCACCAAGACAGAGAGCACAAAAGAGATAATTAGTAAAACGAAAAGAAAATCTAGCTGAAATTGACGAGACTCACCGCGAGAGCGAGAGCTTTCCGCGTGTGAATCCCTTGCGCGCCGTCAGCTCCGCATCCCGCTCCTTCTGCACCAAGACAGAGAGCACAAAAGAGAGAATTAGTAAAACGAAAAGAAAATCTAGCTGAAATTGACGAGACTCACCGAGAGAGCGAGAGCTTTCCGCGTGTGACTCCCTTGCTCGCCGTCAGCTCCGCATCCCGCTCCTTCTGCACCAAGACAGAGAGCACAAAAGAGAGAATTAGTAAAACGAAAAGAAAATCTAGCTGAAATTGACGAGACTCACCGCGAGAGCGAGAGCTTTCCGCGTGTGAATCCCTTGCGCGCCGTCAGCTCCGCATCCCGCTCCTTCTGCACCAAGACAGAGAGCACAAAAGAGAGAATTAGTAAAACGAAAAGAAAATCTAGCTGAAATTGACGAGACTCACCGAGAGAGCGAGAGCTTTCCGCGTGTGACTCCCTTGCTCGCCGTCAGCTCCGCATCCCGCTCCTTCTGCACCAAGACAGAGAGCACAAAAGAGATAATTAGTAAATCGAAAAGAAAATCTAGCTGAAATTGACGAGACTCACCGAGAGAGCGAGAGCTTTCCGCGTGTGACTCCCTTGCTCGCCGTCAGCTCCGCATCCCGCTCCTTCTGCACCAAGACAGAGAGCACAAAAGAGATAATTAGTAAAACGAAAAGAAAATCTAGCTGAAATTGACGAGACTCACCGAGAGAGCGAGAGCTTTCCGCGTGTGAATCCCTTGCGCGCCGTCAGCTCCGCATCCCGCTCCTTCTGCACCAAGACAGAGAGCACAAAAGAGAGAATTAGTAAAACGAAAAGAAAATCTAGCTGAAATTGACGAGACTCACCAAGAGAGCGAGAGCTTTCCGCGTGTGAATCCCTTGCTCGCCGTCAGCTCCCCATCCCGCTCCTTCTGCACCTAGACAGAGAGCACAAAAGAGAGAAATAGTAAAACGAAATGAAAATCTAGCTGAAATTGACGAGACTCACCGAGAGAGCGAGAGCTTTCCGCGTGTGACTTCCTTGCTCGCCGTCAGCTCCCCATCCCGCTCCTTCTGCACCAAGACAGAGAGCACAAAAGAGAGAATTAGTAAAACGAAAAGAAAATCTAGCTGATATTGACGAGACTCACCAAGAGAGCGAGAGCTTTCCGCGTGTGACTCTCTTGCTCGCCGTCAGCTCCCCATCCCGCTCCTTCTGCATCAAGACAGAGAACGCAAAAGAGAGCATTAGTAAATCGAAAAGAAAATACGAGCTGGAAATTGACGATACTTACGAAGAGAGGGACAAGGATTTGCCGGAGAAGTAGGCGACTTAGTCACAGTGATGTCCACTTTGGCGAAGTGCCTTGCGGCGGAGCGATTTCCACCATGCGACGGAAGAAGCGCATCTTTGCACCGAGGCGAAGCAGTAGGCCGCTTCTGACGAGGCATTCGACGATCTCGGCTTGAATTCTTCCGATAAAGATTGGTCGAGAAGCGCCAAGGCGGTGTCCTGCGGGAAGAAGGGAAATCCGTCAGAGCTTATCCAGCCAAAAATGATGAAGAAGGAGAAAACAGTTGCAAAAGTTGCAAAAGAGGTACTTACGTCCACTTGGAGGAGATGACAATCCCGTCCTTCGCCTTAGCATCTGCGCCGGAGTAAGCGCCAACAGCAACGGGGAAAGCGCCATTGAAGATCGTCTTGAGAAGATCTCGAGTCGAACACTTCCCGATGATAATCGCGGTGAAGATATCGCGGTGGTCAACTTGCCGTGAAGATCTCCCAGGGTTTTCGCGGTCTTGCAGTGGAGATCTTGAGAGGGAGTTCCTCGCCGTAGGGAGTTTCTCACGATGTAGTTCTTGCCGCGAAGAACAGGGCGTAGTACAAGGTTCCGGCCAAGGCTTGCAAGCAGCTCTCTAGACTCACTACCCACCCACCCCACCCACGACTCTAGACTCTACGCTAACTCTAACGCCTACACGAACCTACACGGACTCTAAGACGCGCTGCTGCTTGCCTTGGCCTTTCCCTTGCACTAGCTTGGGTGGCTACATGATGTAGCTTAGTAGACTGCTCGTGGAGCTCGTCGCATGAACTCCACAGGTACTAGCTCATTGGGACGGAGCTGATTTTGACGGAGCTGAAAAATCCTTCCGACGAGATGATTGCGAAGGTAGAAACCCGAGAATGAAGTTGACGATAGGAACTTGTAGATCCTCTGATGGAAGGAATGGAACGATCGAACAAGGAGGAGTGTGTCGATGGAAACGATAATCCAGGTCGGAAACTTCTGGGTGCGGTGCGGGATGCGGATGCGGATGCGGCGCGGCGCCTCTCAAAATGTTGCAGCCAGAGGGTTCGGAAAGTATGATATCGTTTATCGGTTATTCCTGCTCTGACTCAAGAAGCCGTTGGCGGTGAGGCGTGGCGCAACGCGGCGCGGACGTTCGCTGCTGCTACAACGCGGGAGGGGGTGCGGCTAGTTTGCGGGTTACATGAGGCGACTTCATGATGAACAGATGGTGCAGAGTTGATGCGGCTATCGCCACCACCAACGAATGGTGAAGATACCATAGTGATGTGTCATGGTGCGATGGCCGCCGTCACCATAGAGATTCCCCGCCTTGGAAACGTTTACCATGGGGACTTTCAAGGCGACCCGAATGTGTGCAGTGCATGTGGACTCCCCAAAGCTATTGCGTGTGTTGGTAGATTACAGCCGCTAATATTTGATGAGTGCGGTGCGTTGCGATCAAGCGCGCGGCCTTTGGTTATGGTGCTTTGGTGCCGTTACAATACAAAGGTGGTTTTGCAAAATAGTGAACGGATGGCGGAGATGATTGCTGCCGCAGATGGATGGTAAAGATTTGGTGGAGCCTTGTGTTGGGAGGGAGTGGTAAGGTGGCTGGCGCCGCCAAGGCAACTTTCCGCCTAGAGAATGTCAGAGTGTGTTCCAATGGACTCAAATTTCGTTGCGGCCCAAATGTGAATTTGAACTGATCCCAACGCGACTCGACATCGTGAACCATTTTCACATGCACAGTACAAAGGGTGGTAAAGTTATGTGGGTTGGTTTGCAGTTTGTTATAAGCGGATCTGCTGAGGACGCGTATCGCTGGGTTGTGGTTTGACGGGCACTCTCTGATATCGGATAGGAAAGGTTAGGGCTGGGGCAGGAAACGAACTTTATAGGAGGTTGTTGACGTGGCACGTGTATTTTATATGTATAGACCGACTATGATTCTTTTGCGAGGAATTCTGCGTGGAGTGCGGGAATGCGTTGAGATGTGTGAACGGAAGGTTCAGGTGCTCGCGCGATTCATTTTGTTCCGTGTGAACTTGATCGGGGCAGCTGAAAATGGCAAGGGGTGATCGATAAAAAATCGTGCGAGCCAATAGAATTGGGAGGTGTTTCTTGCCCTCATCCATATCTTCCAGCTCATTCCCCTTCGTCTCCAATGCTTGGTTTCATCGATTCTTGGTGTTCATTTCGCCGATTAGCGTGCCTGCCGCATATCTTGTTGCCGTAGCCTCTATCAGTCTTGTCATCGGTCGCGATTCAGTGTTAGCCGCTTCCATCTGAACGAGTACTAGTCTCAGATCCAAGTGAAATAAGCAACGTTCGGTGCGCGCTCGATGTCTTTGAACCGTAGCCAGTAGTTGTAAGAACCGACGAAATCTAAGTTAAGGATCACGGGAGAAATGGAAACGTTGCCTTGCGGGCGACTTAATAGCGTCAATAAATAGTTTTCAGTGCCACCTAAAACGAACACAAGATAGAAGGGAGGCAGTAGACTGGCAAGAGGCGGCGGTCCACGAGCATGCTACACGGTTTCGCGAACGTAGGATTTCGGCGAGTATGTTACAGCTCTCGCGAACATTGGATTTCCGAGCTGACGCACGGACACTCCATGTCGTGCAACCTCTCCCTTTCCCCCGTTTCCCCCATCCCCCTTATCTTCCGTCGCACATCTTTCTTAGCTCTCGCCAGGTCTCCCCTCTCTCTCCCCCCATCTCCGCACGCTCTCCCCTCATGTCCTCATGCAGCTCTCATCTTCTCTCTCACCCTACTACCTCTCATCTCCGTCCCTACTCACTTACATCCCCTCGTCACTCACTCCTCATCTCCTCTTGATTCAACCATCATCTCCCCCACCGTTTCCCCCGCTCACCCCTTGACTTCCCCCCGTTTTCCCCTTTCTAGCCTCCCCCACTCACTCCCGTGAACTCTCTCCTGTTCACCCTTCATCTCCACCCTGTCTCCCCACTCCCCCCTCCCTCCCTCCCCCCTTCCCCTCCAGCCTCCTATCCTCCTGCACTCACCCTCATTCCCTCTCTCACGCACACGTCATCTTCCTACCCACTCACTCCTCACCTACCTTCCCCGCTCACCCATCATCTCTCTCGCCACTCCCCCAGTCATTCCTCATCTGCCCCACGTTCCTTCCCCCTTTCACCCCCTCCTCCTTCCCTTTCCCTTTTTCTTTGTCCCTCCTCCCAAGTCTCCCCCTTCCCCCACCGAACTCACCCCTCCCCTCACCTCACCCCCTGCTCAACCCTCATCACTCCCCTCTCCACTTACCACTGCTTCCGCACATGCTTAACATCCCCAGACCCACACCTTCACCCGTCCTTACTCCAATGACCCTTGCCTTTTTCTCCTTCAACCTGCTTCTTCTTCCTCTTCTTTCTGCCTTTTCTTCATCTGGTTTTCATGGACTTCTTGACACATGGCTGCATGTGACTTGGCCTGCTGCAGGTTAAGCAGCATCAACTTTGCAAGTTGTATCCTAGCTGGAGGTTGTCTGACCCAGCTTCCCGGCTGCAAGATTGCATGCATTTTTGTACACCCTGCTGAGTCTCATGTATAATCAGTTTATGTGGAAACCAGCCGAACAAACACTGGGAACACTACCCCATGCCATAAAAGGCAAGAAGAAAGAGAATTTACCACTAAAAGCGCTTGGGAATTGCTGTGAAGTACAAAAACCCTAATTTCGCCCTCCTGATTCCAACACTAACCAAAGAGCACGGATGCAAGGCAACTCCGACCCGTTCCTGGTTCAGGTACATAAAAGAACACTGCCCTTCTGCTCTCCTCTCAGCCCAGCGGTCGTAGCACCCCTTGTGAGAAACTTAAGATCCTATTGTTGAGTCGCCTCAATAGTGCCATTGGGGCAGCTCAAAAACCCAGAGGGAGACCGCCTTGTGAGAATCCCAAGATCAGATTCTCTCTCTGCACTTGATCCGCACGCGCACCCCTGTGCCTCCACACGCTACGCTGGCTCCTAATCGCTCAGACCGGTACCTGGCATGGGGGCAAAGGGGGGATGCGTGGCTGTGTGAGCTCAAGGTGTGTGAGCGTGCCAACACACGTGGAGTCAGAGTCACGCTCTCGTATGCGTGAGTTGCGACAAATCAAAACAGATGAAAGAAACGGTGAATACTCAACAGGAACAAGATGGAAAAGAAGGACGAGTAGGAGAGCGATGAGGTGGGGAGGGGAGGCAGGGCATGGAAGTGGGCATACCTGCAGAGAAGAGGATCCGAACCATAGAGAGAAGTGGGGGGAGGGAGAGGGGAGGAAAACCCGGAAACCCGACCACAGGCCACCACGCATTGGGGATTGTTGGTTGTTAGGCTGAGAAATGGAAGCTGCACTGCTGGGAGGTGTGAGCTGGTCTGCGCGAATGTGGTGGCGGCACAGGAAGGAGACACTGGTCCGGCCACGAGGGCTGACAGACACATAGGGTGAGAGGAGGGGGGAGGGGAGGCACTGCGGAGACAGTGCAGCAGCACACACTAGCAGGTGTGTGCACACAACACAAGCGCACTCACAAATGCACACACATGCACATGAACAGACTCATACACATGCTTCTGCATAAAAAGCAGGTGACAATTTCACGGGTGAGGGTGGTACGAGCACACAGAGTGGCATATTGTGTATGCTCAAGCAAGTCAACAGAGGGACAGGCTAACTGCGAAAGAATCATTATCACACCGTCGCTTGGGGGTTGGGCTGCGGCTGCTGCTGCTGCGACTCCTGCTGCGACTCACACTGCGACTCCTCCTCCTGCTCCTCCTCTGCTCCCCATGCCCCTCTCCCTTTCCCCCCTCCTTCTCCTTCCTTTTTTCCTTGTCCCTCTTGCTGCCCTTCTCCCGCCTCTCCTCCCTCCCTCTCCTGCTCTCCTTCTCCTTCTCGCTGCCCTTCTCTGCTCTCTCGCGCTCCCTCCCCTTGTCCTTGCTCCCACGCTTCCCATGCCTGGGATTCGTAGAGAGAAGAGGGAAGACAGGTAGACAGTCATGGAAGGGGTGGGTAAGAATGAACTTGAGGAAACGGAACATCATTGAGGGAACATCATCGGGCGGACATATATCACATAATGCATGGCCGTTCACATGCCATCCATCCTTACATCTCCATCCCCACATACCCCCTCCCCACAATGCCCACCTCATATGCAAACCCCCCCATGTCCCCCCCTTATGCCCATCGTCACATGCGTCGTCTGTCTCACCTGCTGCGATCCTCCTCCTCCTCGTCCCCGTCACTGTGAGATCGCTCGGGTTGAGGGGACCACGACCGGGACCGTGAGAGCGACTTGCTGCGATGCCTGCCCTTCCTGCTTGCCTCTTTCTTTCTCTCCGATCGCCCGTGCCTGCCTCCTTTTCCCCGCTCTTCACTCCTGTCGTCGTCACTATCATCAGCTTCTCCTTTCTTCTCTTTGCTCTCCTCTTTCCTCCTGCCCGCAGACTTGTCTTTCCTCTCGCGCTTCTCCTTGTTCCTTCGCTCCTCCTTCTCCTTCTCCTTTTCTTTCTCGACTTGAGATCCCTTCTTCTCCTTCCGGCCACCCTCATCCCTGCTTTCATCCCTACTACCCTCCTCATCTCCATCCCTCTTCCTCTCCTTCCCCTTCCTGTCGCTCTCCTTCTCCCGCTCTCCATCCTTCTCACCACTCCTCTCCTTCTCCCTCTCCTTGCCCCTCCTCTCATCCCTGTCTTTGCTCCTCTCTTCACCCTTGGCACTCCTCTTCTCCTTCTCTTTTTCATCATCCTTCTCTTTGTCCTTTCCTCTATCCTTCTCTTTATCTTTGTCCTTATCTTTTTCCCTCTTCCTCTCCTGAGACTCGTGTGTCTCTCGGCTTTTCTGCTTGCTCCCTTTCTCTTCCCTATCTTCCTCATCCTCCCTCTTCGCTTTCCTATCCCTCTCTTCTCTATGCCTCTTCTCACTTCCCTCCCTCCTATCATGCTCCCCTCTCCTCTTTTTCTTCCTCCCCTCGCTCTCCTCACTCTCCCCATCCTTCTCCTTATCATCTTTCCCCTCACTCCTCCTGCTCGTCTTTCCCTTCCTGTTTTCCTCCTCCCCTCCCTCCTCCTCTCCCCTCGCCCGCCCACGCCCTTCCTCCGCCTTCTTCCCCTTTACTACCCCGTCATCCCCACCCCCGCTTCTCTTCCTCCCCCTCTCCCCCTCATCATCCCCCTCTCTTCGCACCTCTTCCCGTCCCCCTGCCTCCTGCCTTCCCTCTGCCATACCCCTTATCTTCGCTTCTTCATCCCCCTCTTCCCCATCCTTCCCCTCCCGCCTCTCCTCCAGCGCACCAGCCTTATCCTCCTCCTCCCTCCCCGTTCCATCCCTCTGCACCGCACTCCCACCCCCTTCACCACCATCAACACCTTTCTCCTTCGCATCCCTTACCACCTCACTCTCCTCCTTTTCCTTCTCCTTCTCTTCTTTATCCTCCTCTTCTTCCTCCTCTTTCTCCTCATCTTCCTCTTCTTCTTCCTCCTCCCCTTCATCCTCCTCATCGTCATCATCATCATCCTCATCATCATCATCCTCATCACTCCCATAAGCAATCCCCAACAGCCCTCCAACCAGCAACCCTCCACCCCCCCCAGCCCGTTTCTTCTTCCTCTTACTCTTCCTCTTCCTCTCAGCATTCGTTGCCTTGCTCGTCTCAACCACCCCCTTCCCCCCAGCCTCTCCTGCTTCCCCTGCTACAGCCCTCCTATTTTCCTCAACCGCACCTGCCCCACCTAATTTTTCACCTGTTTCTTCACCTGCTCTCCCCTCTTCCTTCCCCTCCTCCATACGCCTGTTTCCATCCCTCTCCCCGTCAACCCCTTTCTCCTCCTCCCCCTCTTCCTTCTCTTCCTCCTCCCCTTCACCCACTGTCACCCATTTCCCTCCACTAACCTTCTTCCCCGTCCCCTCCTCCTCTCCACTCCCTCCTCCTCTATCCGCCTCCTCTTCTTCCTCCTCTCTGGGATCCCTGAGAGCATCAATAGCGATTCGCCTCACCATGTCGTCAGTCACCTGTTGGCAGGGAGAGAGGGGAAACAATTGAAAGAGGGGGATTGAATTTCACCTCCTCCTCCTCGTCCTCCGCGCGGAGATCTCTGAGAGCATCAATAGCGATGCGCCTCTCCCTGTCGTCAGTCACCTGTTGGCATGGGGAATATGGTTGGGGCAGGGAGAGAGCGTGGGACAAGGGGGAGAGGGTGGGATGGGAGGGAAAGCGCGGGACAAGAGGGAGCGGGTGGGACGGGCGGCAGAGAGGGCAAAGAGGCCAAGTCAGCACGCGACTCAGCAACATCCTTGACGCCCCCGATATTATTGCCTTTAACGCGACCCCCCTCGCATGCGACCCCCCTCGCATGCGACCCCCCTCGCATGCGACCCCCCTCGCATGCGACCCACCTTGAGCAGCACTTCTGTGAGCACGCGTTTGATCTCGTTGTTCATCGCCATCCTCCTCTGCACCTCCGTCTCCTCCTCCTCGTCCTCCTCCTCATCACTCTCTACACTCCTTCGCCCACCACCGCGAGCAGCACCACCAGAAGCACCGCCAGTGCCAGCGAGGGTGCCCCTATCGTTGTACCATTTGTCCTTGGAGGGGGCTTTAGCGGGTGAGTCTGCGGCTCCTGCTGCTGCTGCGAGGGCTGCCTTCTTCTTGACGACCTCGTCCACAAGCCACGAGGGGAGGGACTGGGAGAGGGCGAGGGAGGGAGGAGGGGGAGGAGGGGGAGGGAGGGGGGGGGAGGGAGGGAGAGAGGGAGAGAGAGGGAGAAAGAGGGTTAGAGGGAGGGAGAGAGAGGGAGGGAGAGGGAGAGCGGGATAGGGGGAGAGGGAGAGACGGAGGGAGAGAGAGTTTGAGAGGTAGAATGAATATTTTTTTTAGGTGGAAATACGAAGGCCGGGGAAAAGGGAGAGAAAGAAGACGAGAACAGAAAGAGGGACGAGGAAGAGGACAATAAAAATTATTTGGGGTTTAGGGTAAGCGGGGTTGAGGGGGAGGTGGGGTGGGGGGGGAAACGGGGAGGGGAATACCAGACATTCGAGAAAAATCATCAACGGGCCTCAACAGATGACAGCAGCTCACCTTCTTGGGTTTAGCACCGGGAGTCACAGAACCACCCCCACCCACATCATAAACGGCCGGATCAAAATACATTCCTGCAGACGCTGCTGCCGCCTGTGCCGCCGCCAGCACCGCTGGTGAGAGCACTGACATGTCTGCTGCCTGATTGGCTGGCGGCACGTACGCTGCTGCTGCTGCTGCTGCCCCTGCTGCTGGTGTTGCGGGTGGGGGGTACTGCGGCGGCGGGCCGGGCGGAGGGGGGAGCGCGGAGGCGTGCGCGGGGGGCGGGGCGGAGAGGAGCGGCGGAGCGGGCGGCGGCGGGGGCAGGCGCGGGTAGTGCTGCTCGTGCTGAGGGGGAAACCCGCCTGCTGCCGCCGCTCCTGCTGCTGCCGCTGCCGCTGCCGCCGCTGCTGCTGCAGCGTCAGGCGCATTGGCATCCCCATATCCCGAATAAACTCCGTTGTACGTACCCGCAGGGCCAGTAGGGGGGTATTCCGGGGGCGGAGGGGGGTATTGCATGGGGGGAGCGGGGTAATGTGGAGGGTAGAACGACGCGGGATCAGGGGGATGAGTGTGAGGAGGGAGAGGAGGGCCGTGGGAAGGAGGCGGAGGTGGGTACATGTACATTTGCTGCTGCTGCTGCTGCTGCTGCTGCTCTTGCTGTTGCTGCTGATGCTGCTGGTGCATTTCCGGGGGGTAGTAGTACTGCTGGTAATGCTGCTGATAATACTGCTGCTGCTCTTGTTGTTGCTGCTGCTGCTGCTGCTGTTGTTCTGCCCCGGAGCTCCCACCATACCCACCACCCACATACGTCCCGTCAGCAGCGACATACCCCCCGTATCCGCCTCCCCCGCCCCCAGCACCCACATCCTGCTGTTGCGTTCCCGGCGCCGCCGCCGCCGCACCCGCTGCTGCAGAATCCTGCTTCGGCGGTTCCTTGTCCTCGTTAGCTGCTGCTTCTTTATTCGTTGCCGCCGCCGCTGTCGCCGCCGCTGCCGCCGCCGCTGCGTCCGCCGCTTCCTGCGCCGCCCGCTGCTCCGCCCAGAGCCGCGCTTTGGCCGCCCAGTCGAGCTCCGCCCCTGATACACGGGGCGAGGGAGACATGAACGGCTTAAGGGAGTCGTGAACGCTTCAAGGGAGCCATGCACGGTTCAAGGGGGTCATGATGAGTTTAAGAGTGTCATGAACGGGTTGATACACGGATCGAGAGAGCCATGGATAAGGCGATGCACGTTAGAGCGACGCGGGTAATAACGCACGGAGACGGAAGCAAAACAAATCTTTATGAGTCGACTTGACAGATATGGAAGGGAAACAAGTCGTTATTGTAACACGATTCCAACACATCAGAGAGACTTGGCGAAAACGATTTACAAGTGGAATCAAGAATCAGAAAGTCTTAGCGGAAAGACATTACCGCCAAGCTGAGGCTCCTGCGTCTGTTGCTGCTGCTGCTGCTGCTGCTGCTGGTAACCCCACGCTCCGCTCGCATCCCAACCCTGCTGACGCCATCATGCGTCAGATTGAAACAGAAGCAAACACGGCGACCACGCATGTCAGCCTGAGGGCTTCCGAAGCGCGTTTTTTTTTTTTTTTTTCAGGATTTCTGCTTTTGCGTTGCTCTAAGAACCAGATATAGAGCAAGCGTTCATGGTTGCTAAAAAAAAAGCTCAATCCCCAAAACACGGAAGTGACAAAACAAGAGGGTTCACGCTGACGCATGGAACCATCAAGTGAGGATCTAAAGGACAGTTGAATACAACGCAACCACGTTTCGTGAAAGGTTCCCGCGGCAGCACCTGGTGTGACGGCGCATAGGCACCTGTGCTGGCCGGATTGCTCCCGGCGCTCATGGCTCCATCCTGCGACGCGCCTGCTTGCGCTGCCTGCCATTGATCCGCCATACCTCCTTAAAAGGATGCTGGAGTGCAAAAGGCGGATCCATGGGGTATGGAAGGCAGCAGGCGCGAGGTTGCAGCACGAGGGACGGGTGACAGGGCGCAGACGCGTGGACCAGAAGCAACCCAGTGAAGGTGCAAGGGTAGGGTAGGATAGTGGCTGGCTGGTTCTGCAGGCCTGCAGTCTACTGTCAGTCTGTGCTGTGTGTCGTCATGTCAAAAGTCGTTATCCGTGTCGTTCAAGGGAAATACTCGAGCGTATGATCGAAGGCGAGCGTTGGGGGAACGAAACCAAGCGATTCAATTTGACGGCTCGATTTGTGTTTAGGGCTGCTTGGAAGAATTGACGTCCACAGGGAATTCCGCGAAGAATTAGGTTCTAAGTACATGCATTTGCACAGAAAGGATGCTTGTTTATAAAGAAAAGGACACTCAGCATATTCATGTTTCAAGATTTTCACATGAGAACACCTGAACTACCTTGTGATAACAAGCATTTTTGGTGCCACCATAATACATACATTAACCACTAAGCAGCAGCCTCTTCCTCACCACCCCCTTCCTCCTCCCCTTCCTCTTCCTCACTCCCCTCCTCATCAGACTCCACAAACCCCTCCACAAACCCTCCCTTGCTGCCCTTCCCACTGCCCGCCTTGGCTGCCTCCACGCCAGCTGGCAGCAGCTCCAAGGAGCCGTCCGTCCAGCGCGCCAGCAGATGCAGCCGAAAGACTGCCATCTTTTCTCCCAATAACCGCTGGACAAGCAGATAACGGAAGGAGGGATAGGGATGGAAACATAAGGTGAGAACAGGAGACAAGTTGACATGAACAGGAGCGTACCGTCCAGTGCGCCAGCAGATGCAGCCGAAAGACTGCCATTTTTTCTCCCAGTAACCGCTTAACCAGCAGAGAAAGGAAGAGGGGGACGGGTAGGGGGAAAGGGGACAGAAAAGATAAGGCAAGATAGCAGGAGACAAATTGCAAGGAGGGTGACTACCAGGCAGGGCATTGTTGGCATGCATCGAAGTGTGAGATTGCAAGGAAGCAATAACAGGAATGGATTACATAAATTCCAGTCAAACTCCAACTCGATAGCAAGCGGGGTCATTGGAAGGTAAAATGAGCCTTGGGACGGAAATGAGCAGGGAATGGTGGTGTGGGATAGGAAGGCGTACCAAAATGGTGGTGTGGGATTGGAAGGCGTACCAAAATGGTGGTGTGGGATTGGAAGGCGTACCAAAATGGTTGCGGCTTCTGGGGAGAGTGGTTGGCCCTCTGTGCACACTGTGAAGTCAGCCACCAGATCAATCACTCCTGGTATAGTCACAGTGCGGGTGACATAGAGGGGAAGGGGAGGAGGACAGAGGTTGGCCGTCAGTGCACACTGTCAAGTCAGCCAGATTAATCACTCCTGGTATAGTCACAGTGCGGAGACAAGAGGGGGGAAGCAGGAATGGGAAGGCAGAAAGGAAGAAAGTAAAAATGGGGAGAGCGAAACGGGGAAAGCAGATAGGGGGAAGGCAGAAAAGGGGAAAGCTGACAGGGGGAAAGCAGAAAGGGGGAAGCATTAATGTGGAAGGCACAGAGAGAGGGACAGCAGAAAGGAGAGTTACAAAAGGGCGGACGAGTAAAGCACTCGTGGCAGAGCCCTAGCAGGAAAAAGGCACCATTTGCATGGTGGCTTCACTCTCTGCAGTCGTGCCTGCTGCCTTGCCGCGCCTTCCCATGAACCTTCATTCACCCGCATTAGCACCCGGACCCCTCCCCACTCAACTGTGAGACCAGGGCGCGCGCGCGGACCAGGGCGCGCGCGCGGACCAGGGCGCGCGCGCGGACCAGGGCGCGCGCGCGGACCAGGGCGCGCGCTCGGACCAGGGCGCGCCCGCAAACCAGGTCGCGCGCGCGGACCAAGGCGCGCGCTCGGACCAAGGCGCGTGCGCGGACCAAGGCGCGCGCGCGGACCAAGGCGCGCTCCCGGACCAAGGCGCGCTCCCGGACCAAGGCGCGCTCCCGGACCAAGGCGCGCTCCCGGACCAAGGCGCGCTCCCGGACCAAGGCGCGCTCCCGGACCAAGGCGCGCTCCCGGACCAAGGCGCGCTCCCGGACCAAGGCGCGCTCCCGGACCAAGGCGCGCTCCCGGACCAAGGCGCGCTCCCGGACCAAGGCGCGCTCCCGGACCAAGGCGCGCTCCCGGACCAAGGCGCGCTCCCGGACCAAGGCGCGCTCCCGGACCAAGGCGCGCTCCAAGGCGCGCTCCCGGACCAAGGCGCGCTCCCGGACCAAGGCGCGCTCCCGGACCAAGGCGCGCTCCCGGACCAAGGCGCGCTCCCGGACCAAGGCGCGCTCCCGGACCAAGGCGCGCTCCCGGACCAAGGCGCGCTCCCGGACCAAGGCGCGCTCCCGGACCAAGGCGCGCTCCCGGACCAAGGCGCGCTCCCGGACCAAGGCGCGCTCCCGGACCAAGGCGCGCTCCCGGACCAAGGCGCGCTCCCGGACCAAGGCGCGCTCCCGGACCAAGGCGCGCTCCCGGACCAAGGCGCGCTCCCGGACCAAGGCGCGCTCCCGGACCAAGGCGCGCTCCCGGACCAAGGCGCGCTCCCGGACCAAGGCGCGCTCCCGGACCAAGGCGCGCTCCCGGACCAAGGCGCGCTCCCGGACCAAGGCGCGCTCCCGGACCAAGGCGCGCTCCCGGACCAAGGCGCGCTCCCGGACCAAGGCGCGCTCTCGGACCAAGGCGCGCTCCCGGACCAAGGCGCGCTCCCGGACCAAGGCGCGCTCCCGGACCAAGGCGCGCTCTCGGACCAAGGCGCGCTCCCGGACCAAGGCGCGCTCTCGGACCAAGGCGCGCTCTCGGACCAAGGCGCGCTCTCGGACCAAGGCGCGCTCTCGGACCAAGGCGCGCTCTCGGACCAAGGCGCGCTCTCGGACCAAGGCGCGCTCTCGGACCAAGGCGCGCTCTCGGACCAAGGCGCGCTCTCGGACCAAGGCGCGCTCTCGGACCAAGGCGCGCTCTCGGACCAAGGCGCGCTCTCGGACCAAGGCGCGCTCTCGGACCAAGGCGCGCTCTCGGACCAAGGCGCGCTCTCGGACCAAGGCGCGCTCCCGGACCAAGGCGCGCTCCCGGACCAAGGCGCGCTCCCGGACCAAGGCGCGCTCCCGGACCAAGGCGCGCTCCCGGACCAAGGCGCGCTCCCGGACCAAGGCGCGCTCTCGGACCAAGGCGCGCTCTCGGACCAAGGCGCGCTCTCGGACCAAGGCGCGCTCTCGGACCAAGGCGCGCTCTCGGACCAAGGCGCGCTCTCGGACCAAGGCGCGCTCTCGGACCAAGGCGCGCTCCCGGACCAAGGCGCGCTCCCGGACCAAGGCGCGCTCCCGGACCAAGGCGCGCTCTCGGACCAAGGCGCGCTCTCGGACCAAGGCGCGCTCTCGGACCAAGGCGCGCTCTCGGACCAAGGCGCGCTCTCGGACCAAGGCGCGCTCTCGGACCAAGGCGCGCTCTCGGACCAAGGCGCGCTCCCGGACCAAGGCGCGCTCCCGGACCAAGGCGCGCTCCCGGACCAAGGCGCGCTCCCGGACCAAGGCGCGCTCCCGGACCAAGGCGCGCACTCGGACCAAGGCGCGCTCTCGGACCAAGGCGCGCTCTCGGACCAAGGCGCGCTCTCGGACCAAGGCGCGCTCTCGGACCAAGGCGCGCTCTCGGACCAAGGCGCGCTCTCGGACCAAGGCACGCCCTCGGACCAAGGCGCGCCCTCGGACCAAGGCGCGCCCTCGGACCAAGGCGCGCCCTCGGACCAAGGCGCGCTCTCGGACCAAGGCGCGCTCTCGGACCAAGGCGCGCTCTCGGACCAAGGCGCGCTCTCGGACCAAGGCGCGCTCTCGGACCAAGGCGCGCTCTCGGACCAAGGCGCGCTCTCGGACCAAGGCGCGCTCCCGGACCAAGGCGCGCTCCCGGACCAAGGCGCGCTCCCGGACCAAGGCGCGCTCCCGGACCAAGGCGCGCTCCCGGACCAAGGCGCGCTCCCGGACCAAGGCGCGCTCTCGGACCAAGGCGCGCTCTCGGACCAAGGCGCGCTCTCGGACCAAGGCGCGCTCCCGGACCAAGGCGCGCTCTCGGACCAAGGCGCGCTCTCGGACCAAGGCGCGCTCTCGGACCAAGGCGCGCTCTCGGACCAAGGCGCGCTCTCGGACACAGGCGCGCTCTCGGACACAGGCGCGCTCTCGGACCAAGGCGCGCTCTCGGACACAGGCGCGCTCTCGGACACAGGCGCGCTCTCGGACACAGGCGCGCTCTCGGACACAGGCGCGCTCTCGGACACAGGCGCGCTCTCGGACACAGGCGCGCTCTCGGACCAAGGCGCGCTCTCGGACCAAGGCGCGCTCTCGGACCAAGGCGCGCTCTCGGACCAAGGCGCGCTCTCGGACCAAGGCGCGCTCTCGGACCAAGGCGCGCTCTCGGACCAAGGCGCGCTCTCGGACCAAGGCGCGCTCTCGGACCAAGGCGCGCTCTCGGACCAAGGCGCGCTCTCGGACACAAGCGCGCTCTCGGACACAGGCGCGCTCTCGGACCAAGGCGCGCTCTCGGACACAGGCGCGCTCTCGGACACAGGCGCGCTCTCGGACACAGGCGCGCTCTCGGACCAAGGCGCGCTCTCGGACCAAGGCGCGCTCTCGGACCAAGGCGCGCTCTCGGACCAAGGCGCGCTCTCGGACCAAGGCGCGCTCTCGGACCAAGGCGCGCTCTCGGACCAAGGCGCGCTCTCGGACCAAGGCGCGCTCTCGGACCAAGGCGCGCTCTCGGACCAAGGCGCGCTCTCGGACCAAGGCGCGCTCTCGGACCAAGGCGCGCTCTCGGACCAAGGCGCGCTCTCGGACCAAGGCGCGCTCTCGGACCAAGGCGCGCTCTCGGACCAAGGCGCGCTCTCGGACCAAGGCGCGCTCCCGGACCAAGGCGCGCTCCCGGACCAAGGCGCGCTCCCGGACCAAGGCGCGCTCCCGGACCAAGGCGCGCTCCCGGACCAAGGCGCGCTCCCGGACCAAGGCGCGCTCCCGGACCAAGGCGCGCTCCCGGACCAAGGCGCGCTCCCGGACCAAGGCGCGCTCTCGGACCAAGGCGCGCTCTCGGACCAAGGCGCGCTCTCGGACCAAGGCGCGCTCTCGGACCAAGGCGCGCTCTCGGACCAAGGCGCGCTCTCGGACCAAGGCGCGCTCTCGGACCAAGGCGCGCTCTCGGACCAAGGCGCGCTCTCGGACCAAGGCGCGCTCTCGGACCAAGGCGCGCTCTCGGACCAAGGCGCGCTCTCGGACCAAGGCGCGCTCTCGGACCAAGGCGCGCTCTCGGACCAAGGCGCGCTCTCGGACCAAGGCGCGCTCTCGGACCAAGGCGCGCTCTCGGACCAAGGCGCGCTCTCGGACCAAGGCGCGCTCTCGGACCAAGGCGCGCTCCCGGACCAAGGCGCGCTCCCGGACCAAGGCGCGCTCCCGGACCAAGGCGCGCTCCCGGACCAAGGCGCGCTCCCGGACCAAGGCGCGCTCCCGGACCAAGGCGCGCTCCCGGACCAAGGCGCGCTCTCGGACCAAGGCGCGCTCTCGGACCAAGGCGCGCTCTCGGACCAAGGCGCGCTCTCGGACCAAGGCGCGCTCTCGGACCAAGGCGCGCTCTCGGACCAAGGCGCGCTCTCGGACCAAGGCGCGCTCTCGGACCAAGGCGCGCTCTCGGACCAAGGCGCGCTCTCGGACCAAGGCGCGCTCTCGGACCAAGGCGCGCTCTCGGACCAAGGCGCGCTCTCGGACCAAGGCGCGCTCTCGGACCAAGGCGCGCTCTCGGACCAAGGCGCGCTCTCGGACCAAGGCGCGCTCTCGGACCAAGGCGCGCTCTCGGACCAAGGCGCGCTCTCGGACCAAGGCGCGCTCTCGGACCAAGGCGCGCTCCCGGACCAAGGCGCGCTCCCGGACCAAGGCGCGCTCCCGGACCAAGGCGCGCTCCCGGACCAAGGCGCGCTCCCGGACCAAGGCGCGCTCTCGGACCAAGGCGCGCTCTCGGACCAAGGCGCGCTCTCGGACCAAGGCGCGCTCTCGGACCAAGGCGCGCTCTCGGACCAAGGCGCGCTCTCGGACCAAGGCGCGCTCTCGGACCAAGGCGCGCTCTCGGACCAAGGCGCGCTCTCGGACCAAGGCGCGCTCTCGGACCAAGGCGCGCTCTCGGACCAAGGCGCGCTCTCGGACCAAGGCGCGCTCTCGGACCAAGGCGCGCTCTCGGACCAAGGCGCGCTCTCGGACCAAGGCGCGCTCTCGGACCAAGGCGCGCTCTCGGACCAAGGCGCGCTCTCGGACCAAGGCGCGCTCTCGGACCAAGGCGCGCTCTCGGACCAAGGCGCGCTCTCGGACCAAGGCGCGCTCCCGGACCAAGGCGCGCTCCCGGACCAAGGCGCGCTCCCGGACCAAGGCGCGCTCCCGGACCAAGGCGCGCTCCCGGACCAAGGCGCGCTCCCGGATCAAGGCGCGCTCCCGGACCAAGGCGCGCTCCCGGACCAAGGCGCGCTCCCGGACCAAGGCGCGCTCTCGGACCAAGGCGCGCTCTCGGACCAAGGCGCGCTCTCGGACCAAGGCGCGCTCTCGGACCAAGGCGCGCTCTCGGACCAAGGCGCGCTCTCGGACCAAGGCGCGCTCTCGGACCAAGGCGCGCTCTCGGACCAAGGCGCGCTCTCGGACCAAGGCGCGCTCTCGGACCAAGGCGCGCTCTCGGACCAAGGCGCGCTCTCGGACCAAGGCGCGCTCTCGGACCAAGGCGCGCTCTCGGACCAAGGCGCGCTCTCGGACCAAGGCGCGCTCTCGGACCAAGGCGCGCTCTCGGACCAAGGCGCGCTCTCGGACCAAGGCGCGCTCTCGGACCAAGGCGCGCTCCCGGACCAAGGCGCGCTCCCGGACCAAGGCGCGCTCCCGGACCAAGGCGCGCTCCCGGACCAAGGCGCGCTCCCGGACCAAGGCGCGCTCCCGGACCAAGTCGCGCTCCCGGACCAAGGCGCGCTCCCGGACCAAGGCGCGCTCTCGGACCAAGGCGCGCTCTCGGACCAAGGCGCGCTCTCGGACCAAGGCGCGCTCTCGGACCAAGGCGCGCTCTCGGACCAAGGCGCGCTCTCGGACCAAGGCGCGCTCTCGGACCAAGGCGCGCTCTCGGACCAAGGCGCGCTCTCGGACCAAGGCGCGCTCTCGGACCAAGGCGCGCTCTCGGACACAGGCGCGCTCTCGGACACAGGCGCGCTCTCGGACCAAGGCGCGCTCTCGGACACAGGCGCGCTCTCGGACCAAGGCGCGCTCTCGGACCAAGGCGCGCTCTCGGACCAAGGCGCGCTCTCGGACCAAGGCGCGCTCTCGGACCAAGGCGCGCTCTCGGACCAAGGCGCGCTCTCGGACCAAGGCGCGCTCTCGGACCAAGGCGCGCTCTCGGACCAAGGCGCGCTCTCGGACCAAGGCGCGCTCTCGGACCAAGGCGCGCTCTCGGACCAAGGCGCGCTCTCGGACCAAGGCGCGCTCTCGGACCAAGGCGCGCTCTCGGACCAAGGCGCGCTCTCGGACCAAGGCGCGCTCTCGGACCAAGGCGCGCTCCCGGACCAAGGCGCGCTCCCGGACCAAGGCGCGCTCCCGGACCAAGGCGCGCTCCCGGACCAAGGCGCGCTCCCGGACCAAGGCGCGCTCCCGGATCCAAGGCGCGCTCCCGGACCAAGGCGCGCTCCCGGACCAAGGCGCGCTCCCGGACCAAGGCGCGCTCTCGGACCAAGGCGCGCTCTCGGACCAAGGCGCGCTCTCGGACCAAGGCGCGCTCTCGGACCAAGGCGCGCTCTCGGACCAAGGCGCGCTCTCGGACCAAGGCGCGCTCTCGGACCAAGGCGCGCTCTCGGACCAAGGCGCGCTCTCGGACCAAGGCGCGCTCTCGGACCAAGGCGCGCTCTCGGACCAAGGCGCGCTCTCGGACCAAGGCGCGCTCTCGGACCAAGGCGCGCTCTCGGACCAAGGCGCGCTCTCGGACCAAGGCGCGCTCTCGGACCAAGGCGCGCTCTCGGACCAAGGCGCGCTCTCGGACCAAGGCGCGCTCTCGGACCAAGGCGCGCTCTCGGACCAAGGCGCGCTCTCGGACCAAGGCGCGCTCTCGGACCAAGGCGCGCTCTCGGACACAGGCGCGCTCTCGGACACAGGCGCGCTCTCGGACACAGGCGCGCTCTCGGACACAGGCGCGCTCTCGGACACAGGCGCGCTCTCGGACCAAGGCGCGCTCTCGGACCAAGGCGCGCTCTCGGACCAAGGCGCGCTCTCGGACCAAGGCGCGCTCTCGGACCAAGGCGCGCTCTCGGACCAAGGCGCGCTCTCGGACCAAGGCGCGCTCTCGGACCAAGGCGCGCTCTCGGACCAAGGCGCGCTCTCGGACCAAGGCGCGCTCTCGGACCAAGGCGCGCTCTCGGACCAAGGCGCGCTCTCGGACCAAGGCGCGCTCTCGGACCAAGGCGCGCTCTCGGACCAAGGCGCGCTCTCGGACCAAGGCGCGCTCTCGGACCAAGGCGCGCTCTCGGACCAAGGCGCGCTCTCGGACACAGGCGCGCTCTCGGACACAGGCGCGCTCTCGGACACAGGCGCGCTCTCGGACACAGGCGCGCTCTCGGACCAAGGCGCGCTCTCGGACACAGGCGCGCTCTCGGACCAAGGCGCGCTCTCGGACCAAGGCGCGCTCTCGGACCAAGGCGCGCTCTCGGACCAAGGCGCGCTCTCGGACCAAGGCGCGCTCTCGGACCAAGGCGCGCTCTCGGACCAAGGCGCGCTCTCGGACCAAGGCGCGCTCTCGGACCAAGGCGCGCTCTCGGACCAAGGCGCGCTCTCGGACCAAGGCGCGCTCTCGGACCAAGGCGCGCTCTCGGACCAAGGCGCGCTCTCGGACCAAGGCGCGCTCCCGGACCAAGGCGCGCTCCCGGACCAAGGCGCGCTCCCGGACCAAGGCGCGCTCCCGGACCAAGGCGCGCTCCCGGACCAAGGCGCGCTCCCGGACCAAGGCGCGCTCCCGGACCAAGGCGCGCTCCCGGACCAAGGCGCGCTCCCGGACCAAGGCGCGCTCTCGGACCAAGGCGCGCTCTCGGACCAAGGCGCGCTCTCGGACCAAGGCGCGCTCTCGGACCAAGGCGCGCTCTCGGACCAAGGCGCGCTCTCGGACAAGGCGCGCTCTCGGACCAAGGCGCGCTCTCGGACCAAGGCGCGCTCTCGGACCAAGGCGCGCTCTCGGACCAAGGCGCGCTCTCGGACCAAGGCGCGCTCTCGGACCAAGGCGCGCTCTCGGACACAGGCGCGCTCTCGGACACAGGCGCGCTCTCGGACCAAGGCGCGCTCTCGGACACAGGCGCGCTCTCGGACACAGGCGCGCTCTCGGACCAAGGCGCGCTCTCGGACACAGGCGCGCTCTCGGACCAAGGCGCGCTCTCGGACCAAGGCGCGCTCTCGGACCAAGGCGCGCTCTCGGACCAAGGCGCGCTCTCGGACCAAGGCGCGCTCTCGGACCAAGGCGCGCTCTCGGACACAGGCGCGCTCTCGGACCAAGGCGCGCTCTCGGACCAAGGCGCGCTCTCGGACCAAGGCGCGCTCTCGGACCAAGGCGCGCTCTCGGACCAAGGCGCGCTCTCGGACCAAGGCGCGCTCTCGGACCAAGGCGCGCTCTCGGACCAAGGCGCGCTCTCGGACCAAGGCGCGCTCTCGGACCAAGGCGCGCTCTCGGACCAAGGCGCGCTCTCGGACCAAGGCGCGCTCTCGGACCAAGGCGCGCTCTCGGACCAAGGCGCGCTCTCGGACCAAGGCGCGCTCTTGGACCAAGGCGCGCTGTCGGACCAAGGCGCGCTCTCGGACACAGGCGCGCTCTCGGACACAGGCGCGCTCTCGGACCAAGGCGCGCTCTCGGACACAGGCGCGCTCTCGGACACAGGCGCGCTCTCGGACCAAGGCGCGCTCTCGGACACAGGCGCGCTCTCGGACCAAGGCGCGCTCTCGGACCAAGGCGCGCTCTCGGACCAAGGCGCGCTCTCGGACCAAGGCGCGCTCTCGGACCAAGGCGCGCTCTCGGACCAAGGCGCGCTCTCGGACCAAGGCGCGCTCTCGGACCAAGGCGCGCTCTCGGACCAAGGCGCGCTCTCGGACCAAGGCGCGCTCTCGGACCAAGGCGCGCTCTCGGACCAAGGCGCGCTCTCGGACCAAGGCGCGCTCTCGGACCAAGGCGCGCTCTCGGACCAAGGCGCGCTCTCGGACCAAGGCGCGCTCTCGGACCAAGGCGCGCTCTCGGACCAAGGCGCGCTCCCGGACCAAGGCGCGCTCCCGGACCAAGGCGCGCTCCCGGACCAAGGCGCGCTCCCGGACCAAGGCGCGCTCCCGGACCAAGGCGCGCTCCCGGACCAAGGCGCGCTCCCGGACCAAGGCGCGCTCCCGGACCAAGGCGCGCTCTCGGACCAAGGCGCGCTCTCGGACCAAGGCGCGCTCTCGGACCAAGGCGCGCTCTCGGACCAAGGCGCGCTCTCGGACCAAGGCGCGCTCTCGGACCAAGGCGCGCTCTCGGACCAAGGCGCGCTCTCGGACCAAGGCGCGCTCTCGGACCAAGGCGCGCTCTCGGACCAAGGCGCGCTCTCGGACCAAGGCGCGCTCTCGGACCAAGGCGCGCTCTCGGACACAGGCGCGCTCTCGGACACAGGCGCGCTCTCGGACACAGGCGCGCTCTCGGACCAAGGCGCGCTCTCGGACCAAGGCGCGCTCTCGGACACAGGCGCGCTCTCGGACCAAGGCGCGCTCTCGGACACAGGCGCGCTCTCGGACCAAGGCGCGCTCTCGGACCAAGGCGCGCTCTCGGACACAGGCGCGCTCTCGGACACAGGCGCGCTCTCGGACCAAGGCGCGCTCTCGGACACAGGCGCGCTCTCGGACCAAGGCGCGCTCTCGGACCAAGGCGCGCTCTCGGACCAAGGCGCGCTCTCGGACCAAGGCGCGCTCTCGGACCAAGGCGCGCTCTCGGACACAGGCGCGCTCTCGGACCAAGGCGCGCTCTCGGACCAAGGCGCGCTCTCGGACCAAGGCGCGCTCTCGGACCAAGGCGCGCTCTCGGACCAAGGCGCGCTCTCGGACCAAGGCGCGCTCTCGGACCAAGGCGCGCTCTCGGACCAAGGCGCGCTCTCGGACCAAGGCGCGCTCTCGGACCAAGGCGCGCTCTCGGACCAAGGCGCGCTCTCGGACCAAGGCGCGCTCTCGGACCAAGGCGCGCTCTCGGACCAAGGCGCGCTCTCGGACCAAGGCGCGCTCTCGGACCAAGGCGCGCTCTCGGACCAAGGCGCGCTGTCGGACCAAGGCGCGCTCTCGGACACAGGCGCGCTCTCGGACACAGGCGCGCTCTCGGACCAAGGCGCGCTCTCAGACACAGGCGCGCTCTCGGACACAGGCGCGCTCTCGGACCAAGGCGCGCTCTCGGACACAGGCGCGCTCTCGGACCAAGGCGCGCTCTCGGACCAAGGCGCGCTCTCGGACCAAGGCGCGCTCTCGGACCAAGGCGCGCTCTCGGACCAAGGCGCGCTCTCGGACCAAGGCGCGCTCTCGGACCAAGGCGCGCTCTCGGACCAAGGCGCGCTCTCGGACCAAGGCGCGCTCTCGGACCAAGGCGCGCTCTCGGACCAAGGCGCGCTCTCGGACCAAGGCGCGCTCTCGGACACAGGCGCGCTCTCGGACACAGGCGCGCTCTCGGACCAAGGCGCGCTCTCGGACACAGGCGCGCTCTCGGACACAGGCGCGCTCTCGGACCAAGGCGCGCTCTCGGACACAGGCGCGCTCTCGGACCAAGGCGCGCTCTCGGACCAAGGCGCGCTCTCGGACCAAGGCGCGCTCTCGGACCAAGGCGCGCTCTCGGACCAAGGCGCGCTCCCGGACCAAGGCGCGCTCCCGGACCAAGGCGCGCTCCCGGACCAAGGCGCGCTCTCGGACCAAGGCGCGCTCTCGGACCAAGGCGCGCTCTCGGACCAAGGCGCGCTCTCGGACCAAGGCGCGCTCTCGGACCAAGGCGCGCTCTCGGACCAAGGCGCGCTCCCGGACCAAGGCGCGCTCCCGGACCAAGGCGCGCTCCCGGACCAAGGCGCGCTCCCGGACCAAGGCGCGCTCCCGGACCAAGGCGCGCACTCGGACCAAGGCGCGCTCTCGGACCAAGGCGCGCTCTCGGACCAAGGCGCGCTCTCGGACCAAGGCGCGCTCTCGGACCAAGGCGCGCTCTCGGACCAAGGCGCGCTCTCGGACCAAGGCACACCCTCGGACCAAGGCGCGCCCTCGGACCAAGGCGCGCCCTCGGACCAAGGCGCGCCCTCGGACCAAGGCGCGCCCTCGGACCAAGGCGCGCTCTCGGACCAAGGCGCGCTCTCGGACCAAGGCGCGCTCTCGGACCAAGGCGCGCTCTCGGACCAAGGCGCGCTCTCGGACCAAGGCGCGCTCTCGGACCAAGGCGCGCTCTCGGACCAAGGCGCGCTCCCGGACCAAGGCGCGCTCCCGGACCAAGGCGCGCTCCCGGACCAAGGCGCGCTCCCGGACCAAGGCGCGCTCCCGGACCAAGGCGCGCTCCCGGACCAAGGCGCGCTCTCGGACCAAGGCGCGCTCTCGGACCAAGGCGCGCTCTCGGACCAAGGCGCGCTCCCGGACCAAGGCGCGCTCTCGGACCAAGGCGCGCTCTCGGACCAAGGCGCGCTCTCGGACCAAGGCGCGCTCTCGGACCAAGGCGCGCTCTCGGACACAGGCGCGCTCTCGGACACAGGCGCGCTCTCGGACCAAGGCGCGCTCTCGGACACAGGCGCGCTCTCGGACACAGGCGCGCTCTCGGACACAGGCGCGCTCTCGGACACAGGCGCGCTCTCGGACACAGGCGCGCTCTCGGACACAGGCGCGCTCTCGGACCAAGGCGCGCTCTCGGACCAAGGCGCGCTCTCGGACCAAGGCGCGCTCTCGGACCAAGGCGCGCTCTCGGACCAAGGCGCGCTCTCGGACCAAGGCGCGCTCTCGGACCAAGGCGCGCTCTCGGACCAAGGCGCGCTCTCGGACCAAGGCGCGCTCTCGGACCAAGGCGCGCTCTCGGACACAAGCGCGCTCTCGGACACAGGCGCGCTCTCGGACCAAGGCGCGCTCTCGGACACAGGCGCGCTCTCGGACACAGGCGCGCTCTCGGACACAGGCGCGCTCTCGGACCAAGGCGCGCTCTCGGACCAAGGCGCGCTCTCGGACCAAGGCGCGCTCTCGGACCAAGGCGCGCTCTCGGACCAAGGCGCGCTCTCGGACCAAGGCGCGCTCTCGGACCAAGGCGCGCTCTCGGACCAAGGCGCGCTCTCGGACCAAGGCGCGCTCTCGGACCAAGGCGCGCTCTCGGACCAAGGCGCGCTCTCGGACCAAGGCGCGCTCTCGGACCAAGGCGCGCTCTCGGACCAAGGCGCGCTCTCGGACCAAGGCGCGCTCTCGGACCAAGGCGCGCTCTCGGACCAAGGCGCGCTCCCGGACCAAGGCGCGCTCCCGGACCAAGGCGCGCTCCCGGACCAAGGCGCGCTCCCGGACCAAGGCGCGCTCCCGGACCAAGGCGCGCTCCCGGACCAAGGCGCGCTCCCGGACCAAGGCGCGCTCCCGGACCAAGGCGCGCTCCCGGACCAAGGCGCGCTCTCGGACCAAGGCGCGCTCTCGGACCAAGGCGCGCTCTCGGACCAAGGCGCGCTCTCGGACCAAGGCGCGCTCTCGGACCAAGGCGCGCTCTCGGACCAAGGCGCGCTCTCGGACCAAGGCGCGCTCTCGGACCAAGGCGCGCTCTCGGACCAAGGCGCGCTCTCGGACCAAGGCGCGCTCTCGGACCAAGGCGCGCTCTCGGACCAAGGCGCGCTCTCGGACCAAGGCGCGCTCTCGGACCAAGGCGCGCTCTCGGACCAAGGCGCGCTCTCGGACCAAGGCGCGCTCTCGGACCAAGGCGCGCTCTCGGACCAAGGCGCGCTCTCGGACCAAGGCGCGCTCCCGGACCAAGGCGCGCTCCCGGACCAAGGCGCGCTCCCGGACCAAGGCGCGCTCCCGGACCAAGGCGCGCTCCCGGACCAAGGCGCGCTCCCGGACCAAGGCGCGCTCCCGGACCAAGGCGCGCTCCCGGACCAAGGCGCGCTCCCGGACCAAGGCGCGCTCTCGGACCAAGGCGCGCTCTCGGACCAAGGCGCGCTCTCGGACCAAGGCGCGCTCTCGGACCAAGGCGCGCTCTCGGACCAAGGCGCGCTCTCGGACCAAGGCGCGCTCTCGGACCAAGGCGCGCTCTCGGACCAAGGCGCGCTCTCGGACCAAGGCGCGCTCTCGGACCAAGGCGCGCTCTCGGACCAAGGCGCGCTCTCGGACCAAGGCGCGCTCTCGGACCAAGGCGCGCTCTCGGACCAAGGCGCGCTCTCGGACCAAGGCGCGCTCTCGGACCAAGGCGCGCTCTCGGACCAAGGCGCGCTCTCGGACCAAGGCGCGCTCTCGGACCAAGGCGCGCTCCCGGACCAAGGCGCGCTCCCGGACCAAGGCTGCGCTCCCGGACCAAGGCGCGCTCCCGGACCAAGGCGCGCTCCCGGACCAAGGCGCGCTCCCGGACCAAGGCGCGCTCTCGGACCAAGGCGCGCTCTCGGACCAAGGCGCGCTCTCGGACCAAGGCGCGCTCTCGGACCAAGGCGCGCTCTCGGACCAAGGCGCGCTCTCGGACCAAGGCGCGCTCTCGGACCAAGGCGCGCTCTCGGACCAAGGCGCGCTCTCGGACCAAGGCGCGCTCTCGGACCAAGGCGCGCTCTCGGACCAAGGCGCGCTCTCGGACCAAGGCGCGCTCTCGGACCAAGGCGCGCTCTCGGACCAAGGCGCGCTCTCGGACCAAGGCGCGCTCTCGGACCAAGGCGCGCTCTCGGACCAAGGCGCGCTCTCGGACCAAGGCGCGCTCTCGGACCAAGGCGCGCTCTCGGACCAAGGCGCGCTCTCGGACCAAGGCGCGCTCTCGGACCAAGGCGCGCTCTCGGACCAAGGCGCGCTCTCCGGACCAAGGCGCGCTCCCGGACCAAGGCGCGCTCCCGGACCAAGGCGCGCTCCCGGACCAAGGCGCGCTCCGGACCAAGGCGCGCTCCCGGACCAAGGCGCGCTCCCGGACCAAGGCGCGCTCCCGGACCAAGGCGCGCTCCCGGACCAAGGCGCGCTCTCGGACCAAGGCGCGCTCTCGGACCAAGGCGCGCTCTCGGACCAAGGCGCGCTCTCGGACCAAGGCGCGCTCTCGGACCAAGGCGCGCTCTCGGACCAAGGCGCGCTCTCGGACCAAGGCGCGCTCTCGGACCAAGGCGCGCTCTCGGACCAAGGCGCGCTCTCGGACCAAGGCGCGCTCTCGGACCAAGGCGCGCTCTCGGACCAAGGCGCGCTCTCGGACCAAGGCGCGCTCTCGGACCAAGGCGCGCTCTCGGACCAAGGCGCGCTCTCGGACCAAGGCGCGCTCTCGGACCAAGGCGCGCTCTCGGACCAAGGCGCGCTCCCGGACCAAGGCGCGCTCCCGGACCAAGGCGCGCTCCCGGACCAAGGCGCGCTCCCGGACCAAGGCGCGCTCCCGGACCAAGGCGCGCTCCCGGACCAAGTCGCGCTCCCGGACCAAGGCGCGCTCCCGGACCAAGGCGCGCTCTCGGACCAAGGCGCGCTCTCGGACCAAGGCGCGCTCTCGGACCAAGGCGCGCTCTCGGACCAAGGCGCGCTCTCGGACCAAGGCGCGCTCTCGGACCAAGGCGCGCTCTCGGACCAAGGCGCGCTCTCGGACCAAGGCGCGCTCTCGGACCAAGGCGCGCTCTCGGACCAAGGCGCGCTCTCGGACACAGGCGCGCTCTCGGACACAGGCGCGCTCTCGGACCAAGGCGCGCTCTCGGACACAGGCGCGCTCTCGGACCAAGGCGCGCTCTCGGACCAAGGCGCGCTCTCGGACCAAGGCGCGCTCTCGGACCAAGGCGCGCTCTCGGACCAAGGCGCGCTCTCGGACCAAGGCGCGCTCTCGGACCAAGGCGCGCTCTCGGACCAAGGCGCGCTCTCGGACCAAGGCGCGCTCTCGGACCAAGGCGCGCTCTCGGACCAAGGCGCGCTCTCGGACCAAGGCGCGCTCTCGGACCAAGGCGCGCTCTCGGACCAAGGCGCGCTCTCGGACCAAGGCGCGCTCTCGGACCAAGGCGCGCTCCCGGACCAAGGCGCGCTCCCGGACCAAGGCGCGCTCCCGGACCAAGGCGCGCTCCCGGACCAAGGCGCGCTCCCGGACCAAGGCGCGCTCCCGGACTCAAGGCGCGCTCCCGGACCAAGGCGCGCTCCCGGACCAAGGCGCGCTCCCGGACCAAGGCGCGCTCTCGGACCAAGGCGCGCTCTCGGACCAAGGCGCGCTCTCGGACCAAGGCGCGCTCTCGGACCAAGGCGCGCTCTCGGACCAAGGCGCGCTCTCGGACCAAGGCGCGCTCTCGGACCAAGGCGCGCTCTCGGACCAAGGCGCGCTCTCGGACCAAGGCGCGCTCTCGGACCAAGGCGCGCTCTCGGACCAAGGCGCGCTCTCGGACCAAGGCGCGCTCTCGGACCAAGGCGCGCTCTCGGACCAAGGCGCGCTCTCGGACCAAGGCGCGCTCTCGGACCAAGGCGCGCTCTCGGACCAAGGCGCGCTCTCGGACCAAGGCGCGCTCTCGGACCAAGGCGCGCTCTCGGACCAAGGCGCGCTCTCGGACCAAGGCGCGCTCTCGGACCAAGGCGCGCTCTCGGACCAAGGCGCGCTCTCGGACACAGGCGCGCTCTCGGACACAGGCGCGCTCTCGGACACAGGCGCGCTCTCGGACACAGGCGCGCTCTCGGACCAAGGCGCGCTCTCGGACCAAGGCGCGCTCTCGGACCAAGGCGCGCTCTCGGACCAAGGCGCGCTCTCGGACCAAGGCGCGCTCTCGGACCAAGGCGCGCTCTCGGACCAAGGCGCGCTCTCGGACCAAGGCGCGCTCTCGGACCAAGGCGCGCTCTCGGACCAAGGCGCGCTCTCGGACCAAGGCGCCCTCTCGGACCAAGGCGCGCTCTCGGACCAAGGCGCGCTCTCGGACCAAGGCGCGCTCTCGGACCAAGGCGCGCTCTCGGACCAAGGCGCGCTCTCGGACCAAGGCGCGCTCTCGGACACAGGCGCGCTCTCGGACACAGGCGCGCTCTCGGACACAGGCGCGCTCTCGGACCAAGGCGCGCTCTCGGACACAGGCGCGCTCTCGGACACAGGCGCGCTCTCGGACCAAGGCGCGCTCTCGGACCAAGGCGCGCTCTCGGACCAAGGCGCGCTCTCGGACCAAGGCGCGCTCTCGGACCAAGGCGCGCTCTCGGACCAAGGCGCGCTCTCGGACCAAGGCGCGCTCTCGGACCAAGGCGCGCTCTCGGACCAAGGCGCGCTCTCGGACCAAGGCGCGCTCTCGGACCAAGGCGCGCTCTCGGACCAAGGCGCGCTCTCGGACCAAGGCGCGCTCCCGGACCAAGGCGCGCTCCCGGACCAAGGCGCGCTCCCGGACCAAGGCGCGCTCCCGGACCAAGGCGCGCTCCCGGACCAAGGCGCGCTCCCGGACCAAGGCGCGCTCCCGGACCAAGGCGCGCTCCCGGACCAAGGCGCGCTCCCGGACCAAGGCGCGCTCTCGGACCAAGGCGCGCTCTCGGACCAAGGCGCGCTCTCGGACCAAGGCGCGCTCTCGGACCAAGGCGCGCTCTCGGACCAAGGCGCGCTCTCGGACAAGGGCGCGCTCTCGGACCAAGGCGCGCTCTCGGACCAAGGCGCGCTCTCGGACCAAGGCGCGCTCTCGGACCAAGGCGCGCTCTCGGACCAAGGCGCGCTCTCGGACCAAGGCGCGCTCTCGGACACAGGCGCGCTCTCGGACACAGGCGCGCTCTCGGACCAAGGCGCGCTCTCGGACACAGGCGCGCTCTCGGACACAGGCGCGCTCTCGGACCAAGGCGCGCTCTCGGACACAGGCGCGCTCTCGGACCAAGGCGCGCTCTCGGACCAAGGCGCGCTCTCGGACCAAGGCGCGCTCTCGGACCAAGGCGCGCTCTCGGACCAAGGCGCGCTCTCGGACCAAGGCGCGCTCTCGGACACAGGCGCGCTCTCGGACCAAGGCGCGCTCTCGGACCAAGGCGCGCTCTCGGACCAAGGCGCGCTCTCGGACCAAGGCGCGCTCTCGGACCAAGGCGCGCTCTCGGACCAAGGCGCGCTCTCGGACCAAGGCGCGCTCTCGGACCAAGGCGCGCTCTCGGACCAAGGCGCGCTCTCGGACCAAGGCGCGCTCTCGGACCAAGGCGCGCTCTCGGACCAAGGCGCGCTCTCGGACCAAGGCGCGCTCTCGGACCAAGGCGCGCTCTTGGACCAAGGCGCGCTGTCGGACCAAGGCGCGCTCTCGGACACAGGCGCGCTCTCGGACACAGGCGCGCTCTCGGACCAAGGCGCGCTCTCGGACACAGGCGCGCTCTCGGACACAGGCGCGCTCTCGGACCAAGGCGCGCTCTCGGACACAGGCGCGCTCTCGGACCAAGGCGCGCTCTCGGACCAAGGCGCGCTCTCGGACCAAGGCGCGCTCTCGGACCAAGGCGCGCTCTCGGACCAAGGCGCGCTCTCGGACCAAGGCGCGCTCTCGGACCAAGGCGCGCTCTCGGACCAAGGCGCGCTCTCGGACCAAGGCGCGCTCTCGGACCAAGGCGCGCTCTCGGACCAAGGCGCGCTCTCGGACCAAGGCGCGCTGCGCTCTCGGACCAAGGCGCGCTCTCGGACCAAGGCGCGCTCTCGGACCAAGGCGCGCTGTCGGACCAAGGCGCGCTCTCGGACCAAGGCGCGCTCCCGGACCAAGGCGCGCTCCCGGACCAAGGCGCGCTCCCGGACCAAGGCGCGCTCCCGGACCAAGGCGCGCTCCCGGACCAAGGCGCGCTCCCGGACCAAGGCGCGCTCCCGGACCAAGGCGCGCTCCCGGACCAAGGCGCGCTCTCGGACCAAGGCGCGCTCTCGGACCAAGGCGCGCTCTCGGACCAAGGCGCGCTCTCGGACCAAGGCGCGCTCTCGGACCAAGGCGCGCTCTCGGACCAAGGCGCGCTCTCGGACCAAGGCGCGCTCTCGGACCAAGGCGCGCTCTCGGACCAAGGCGCGCTCTCGGACCAAGGCGCGCTCTCGGACCAAGGCGCGCTCTCGGACCAAGGCGCGCTCTCGGACACAGGCGCGCTCTCGGACACAGGCGCGCTCTCGGACCAAGGCGCGCTCTCGGACACAGGCGCGCTCTCGGACACAGGCGCGCTCTCGGACCAAGGCGCGCTCTCGGACACAGGCGCGCTCTCGGACCAAGGCGCGCTCTCGGACCAAGGCGCGCTCTCGGACCAAGGCGCGCTCTCGGACCAAGGCGCGCTCTCGGACCAAGGCGCGCTCTCGGACACAGGCGCGCTCTCGGACCAAGGCGCGCTCTCGGACCAAGGCGCGCTCTCGGACCAAGGCGCGCTCTCGGACCAAGGCGCGCTCTCGGACCAAGGCGCGCTCTCGGACCAAGGCGCGCTCTCGGACCAAGGCGCGCTCTCGGACCAAGGCGCGCTCTCGGACCAAGGCGCGCTCTCGGACCAAGGCGCGCTCTCGGACCAAGGCGCGCTCTCGGACCAAGGCGCGCTCTCGGACCAAGGCGCGCTCTCGGACCAAGGCGCGCTCTCGGACCAAGGCGCGCTCTCGGACCAAGGCGCGCTGTCGGACCAAGGCGCGCTCTCGGACACAGGCGCGCTCTCGGACACAGGCGCGCTCTCGGACCAAGGCGCGCTCTCGGACACAGGCGCGCTCTCGGACACAGGCGCGCTCTCGGACCAAGGCGCGCTCTCGGACACAGGCGCGCTCTCGGACCAAGGCGCGCTCTCGGACCAAGGCGCGCTCTCGGACCAAGGCGCGCTCTCGGACCAAGGCGCGCTCTCGGACCAAGGCGCGCTCTCGGACCAAGGCGCGCTCTCGGACCAAGGCGCGCTCTCGGACCAAGGCGCGCTCTCGGACCAAGGCGCGCTATCGGACCAAGGCGCGCTCTCGACCAAGGCGCGCTCTCGGACCAAGGCGCGCTCTCGGACCAAGGCGCGCGCTCGGACCAAGGCGCGCGCTCGGACCAAGGCGCGCGCTCGGACCAAGGCGCGCGCTCGGACCAAGGCGCGCGCTCGGACCAAGTCGCGTGAGGTGCAAAGACTGCAACACACACACCCCACTCACCTCTGTTTAGGTGCACAGCCATGTCCTTTGTGCGGAGGAACGGCTCCATGTCGTGGCTGAACTGGGTGAGCGGACGCTCTGGGAGCTCCACCGTGCTGGTGGGGCAGACACCGTACTGCACTGCACCATACCACAGTGCACCATACCTCGGTTAAGCCGCACGGGCATGCCCTGCTTTCTGAGGAACGGCTCCATGTCGTGGCTGAACTGGGTGAGTGGGCCCTGGGGGACGTTGGGAACTGCAACCCTGTTGAGCTGCGCACGCACCCCACCCCACCGCACTGCATTGCACCACACCCCACTCACCCCTGTTGAGGCGCACGGGCATGCCCTGCTTACTGAGCATAATTATCTAGCGCTCGGTAACAACGCAGTCCGTGCAGAAACGGCTCCATGTCGTGGCTGAACTGGGTCAGCGGACCCTCTGGGACATGCGCTGGATCCCTTTTGAGCCCCACACACACACACCCCACTGCACCACACCCTACCGCACTGCACCGCACACCACTCCCTCTCATACCTCGGTTAAGCCGCACGGGCATGCCCTGCTTGCGGAGGAACGGCTCCATGTCATGGCTGAACTGGGTCAGTGGGCCCTCAGGGAGCTCCACCACACTGCACCCCTGTTGAAGCGCAGAAACACCCCACCGCACTGAACCCCACCACACTGCACCCTACCGCACCGTACCGCACTGCACCATACCTCTGTTGAGCCGCACGGGCATGCCCTGCTTGCGGAGGAACGGCTCCATGTCGTGGCTGAACTGGGTGAGCGGACCCTCTGGGAGCTCCACGGTGCTGGTGGCGATGCTGCCCGTGCGTGCGAAATCTGGTTCTGCCAGCTCGTTGAATCGCCTGGCGTCAAGAACACAGCAAGTGATGTGAAAGAGAGAGAGAGGGGGCGATGATGAGAGTGCTGGTGGCGATGCTGCCCGTGCGCGCAAAGTCCGGCTCTGCCAGCTCGTTGAATCGCCTGGCGTGTTTCAGAGGGGTGGAGATGAAGGGATGAAAGGGAGGCAGGGCGGGAGGGATGGGAGGAGATGAGAGTGCTGGTGGCGATGCTGTGCTGCCCGTGCGCGCAAAGTCCGGCTCTGCCTGCCAGCTCGTTGAATCGCCTGGCATTCCGCATGGCGGCGGTGGTGAAGGGTGGAGAGAGGTGGGAGGGCGGTGATGAGAGGTGGAGAGGGAGGGATGAATGAGCATGTGTAGCAAGAGCTCAGAAACAGTGCCACAAACAACCCTTCCTTCCTCCTCTTCCTCCATCACCCCCTCACTAGCTTACAGCCCCCTCTCCCTCCCACCCACTTCTTCAGGCGCCTCACTTCCCCCCACCCACGCCTACACCCTTTTTTTCCCCTTCCCCCTCCCCGTCTTCCCCCCCCAACGCACTTCTCCACCACCTGCACATTGGGCAGCGATGTGAAGAGCGGCCCTCGGTGACCTTCACTCTCTCCCTTTCCCCCCTCTCTTATCCCCTTTCCTTTCCCTGCATCCCTCCCCCTCTTCCCCCCCCAACGCACTTCTCCACTCCCTGCTGCTCCTTGGGCAGCGATGTGACGAGCAGCCCTCGGTGGCCCTCACCCTATCCCCACTCCTCTTCCCTGCTTCCCTTCCCCCTTCCCTTCCCCCTTCCCTTCCCCGCTTCCCTTCCCCCTTCCCTTCCCCCTTCCCTTCCCGCTTCCCTTCCCCCTTCCCTTCCCCCTTCCCTTCCCCCTTCCCTTCCCCCTTCCCTTCCCCCTTCCCTTTCCCCTTCCCTTCCCCCTTCCCTCCCCCCTCCCCTCTCCCCGGCCTCCCACCCCCAACGCACTTCTCCACCTTCTCCTTGGGCAGCAACGTGAAGAGCAGCCCTCGAATACCCTCACCCGATCCCAACTCCTCATCCCCCCTACTCTAACCCCCTTCCCTCCCCATTCCCCCTTCCCTTCCCCCCCACTCCCTCCCCATTCCCCCTTCCCCTCCCCCCCCCAACCCCCAACGCACTTCTCCACCTGCTCCTTGGGCAGCGACGTGAAGAGTAGGCCTCGGTGGCCCTCTATCAGCTGTCGTGGCGCGCATAAAAAGATAAAGAGACAGAAATAAAAGGAGAGAAAGACGGAATGAGAGAGAGAAGGGGCGTTACGAGACAGTGGGATGAGGGATGGAGGGTGACGAAGAAAAGGAACGGAAAAGTGGGTGTAGAAACAGTTGGGAGAAGAGGAGATACGGCAGCAGATGTAGACACTTGAAGGCATGAACGGGGCTGATTAAAGGGGATATACTGCAAGTTGTCCACACTTGTACACACATTCTTAACCTTCGATCCATCTCCACCGCACTGCATCTATTCACGAGTTTCCCTCACTCTCCACACTTCACCGGTGGAGGGCCCCATCCTCTGCTCCGCCACCCCTTATCGTCACTCCTCAAAATCGCACAGCACCATCTTCACCCCTCCCTCCCTCCCCCCTCACCTCGCTGCACGAGCGCAACCCCTCTCTCTGCTCCGTCACACTCCATCCGCACTTTCCTCCAACCCACCTCTCGGTTCCACTCCCCGTCACCGCACAGCACCCCTCACCACTCCCTTCTCACCTCACTGCACCGGTGCAGCCCCTCCCTCTGCTCTGTGGCCTTGTCCCTCGCTCGTCACCACCCCTCATCACCGCACAGCATCCCTCACCCCTCCCGTCTCACCTCACTGCACCGGTGCAGCCCCTCCCTCTGCTCCGTGGCCTTGTCCCTCCCCAGCGCCACCTGCAGCACCTTGTTCGCCCCCAGGAAGAACCTGCGGGGGAAGGCGGGAAGGGGGAGAGCGGGGTGAGGGGATGAGCACGAGGGGGGGGGGAAGGGGGCGAAAGGGGAGGGACGACCGGGAATGAGCAAAGTGGCCCCACCTGCCGCACCGTGTTGACGCCCAAGGAAGAACCTGAAGAGGGAGGCGGAGGGGAATGGGGAAAGAACGGGGGGCCGAGCCGAGAGGAGCTGGGGGAGGGAGAAAGGAAAAAATGGGGCGAGAGGGGAGGGAGGAGCGGGGATGAGCGAAGTGGCCCCACCTGCAGCACCTTGCTGACGCCCAGGCAGAACCTGGGGGAGGCGGATTGGCAGGGACAAGGAGAGGGGGTCAGAGGGGGGAGGGGGTGGATAGTGGGATGGGGGAAACAGTGCCACCTGCAGCACCTTGCTGACGCCCAAGGAGAACCTGGGCACAAGAGCGGTGGACGATGGAGTGGAGGAGAAGGAGAAGAAGCAGGCGGACGAGAAGAAATGGGCACCGTGAGGCTGGCCTCTGAGCCTTTGACCCTCCTTGCGTCAAGCTCCTTGCGCTTGGTGTTGCGCATGCATGCTGCCATCCTTAAAACACATACAATGCTGCTGAGCCCGAACACGCCTCCACTGCTGCTCATCCATTGCCAGCTCAGGGTTTAACGATTCAGGGTTTAAGAATCTGGGGTTGAAGACTCCGGGGTTTGGCGCTGAAGGCTTACCTACAGACGCCCTTGAGCTCGTTCCTGAGCTCCTTGAGCTTCGTGTTGCGCATGTTGTCGAGCTCGAACACGTACACGTCCGAATGACCCTCCACCGCTGCTCATCCACTGCCCTCTCAAGATTTAACGATCAAGGGTTTAAGAAGTCCGGGGTTTAAGGTGATCATGACTTACCGGCAGACTCCTTTCAGCTCGTCTCGCAGCTCCTTGAGCTTGGTGTTGCGCATGTTATCGAACTCAAAGACATACACGTCCGAATACTCCTCTCCGCTACCGCCTACCCATTGCCCGCTCGGGGTTTATCATTCCGGGGTTTAGGGTGCTCGTGCCTTACCTACAGACTCCTTTCAATTCGTCTCGCAGCTCCTTGAGCTTGGTGTTGCGCATGTTATCGAACTCAAAGACATACACGTCCGAATACTCCTCCACCGCCGCTCGCACCGCCTCCACTAGCGACTCCTTCTGCTCGCGCCCCTTCTTTGTCACGCGCGATAGAGTCACTGAGGGGGACGGTAAGTGGGGGGAGGGGGGTTGGAAAATGAGATTTAGCCGTCTCGCCTTAGTCACCACCGCCTCCACTAGCGACTCCTTCTGCTCGCGCCCCTTCTTAGTCACGCGCGATAGAGTCACTGCGTGCGGGAGAGGGGGACGGGAGGGGGGACGGGGTGAGGGAGGGGCGATAGAGTCAATGTAACGCGCGGAAGGGGAGATGATTTTCGCCCTGGAGGAGGAAAGAGGGGGTTGGACTTAAGCGCAGATGGGGCTATAGAAAAACTAGAAAACGTCAAATTGTATCGCAAGGTTGTAAGACGAGGACGCGCACGCCGAATGCGACGATGGCCTGGCCCATGACGACGCATTGCCAGGGGTAAGAAGAGAAGTTTTGAGACGTCTCAAAACTGCTCTTTTTACACATGCCACGATGGCCTACCCCATAACCGACGCATTGCCAGGGCGAGGGTGCATAACGACGCATTGCCAGGGCGAGGGTGCACACAAACCGGTAGCGACAGAATTTGGAGAAAATGCGACGACCTATCTTGCGTACCCAACCGATTGCGCTTCGATTTCGGCATGCTGGCTCGACTTGCTCTGCTCTCCCCTGTGCTTCACTGCCCACTCTTGCGCCTTCTCTCCCCCGCGCGTATCTCCTCCCCTTTGGATAGCGTTCGTGCTCGCTCAAGCCCGCCTGCTGCACTGCTCGCTCAATCTACCAGCTACTACCCAGAGACCTAGCACCGCCTGTAAACCACGTGCTTTTTGGCTGACAGGATTCGTTGGCCCGATGGTTGGGAGCAGCAACCCTAGATGTAACGGGGATCGGTACAACCGATAAGGCGTTCGAGTATCGAGGAACCAGCGGGAGCGACGGGCACGGATGGACTGTCGTGGAGGGGCGTGGAGCGAAGTGTGAAGTTCGGATGGAAGGGAAAGGGAAGAGTGGGGGGAGGGGTAGAGGGGTTTGCGAGAACCAGCGAAGTCGGAAAACCAGCTCCAACACCTAGCAGCATGTTACGCATCTATACTTTTCATTACATGTTTTTTTTACCAACAACAAAAAAAGAACCAGTCAAGAAACTGCTTTTAATAAGTACAAGGTGATTCAATGCAAACCAGGACACACGCCTCAATTTAAGACCATAAAATCCTACGAATAAATTAGCCGTATTCAGAAATGAGCACGAGGCTGTCTTCTGGGCCGAACTCGAGCGGAACGTCCTTGGGGCACGGGTTGATGATTGTGGTGTCGCCGCACCGGTACCCGATGGCCACCTCTCCCCGCTGCACTGCCCTCTCTGCCAGCTCGTTGAACGTTGGGGTCTCCCCAGGACTCACATACAGGGACGCGTCCTGGTGGGTGGGGTTGGGGTTGGGGTGGGTGAATGCATGGTTAATTTTTCTCAGTAGAGAGGTGTAGACCTCCATAAATGACAGGTTGATGACTGTGGTGTCGCCACGCCGATACCCGATCGCCACCTCCCCGCGCTGCACCGCTCTCTCCGCCAGCTCGTTGAAGGTTGGGGTCTCCCCTGGACTCACATACAGGGACGCGTCCTGGTGGAGGGGACGAGGGGGGGGGGGTGGGAGGGGGGGGGTTGGGTTGAGGGTGGGCACATATAGTTTGGTCCCAAGGACGTCCCAGCTCATGGAACGTGGGGCTCTCCCCTGGACTCACATACATGGACGCATCCTGGTGGGTGGGGGTGAGTACATATGAAGGTATTTAAATCTAGTGAACAACAAGGGGTACTTAGTCGGTCATGGATGCACGGAATGGCCAGCGCGTGAGAGCCGGTGTTCCATGCCCTAATAACCCCAGGTCCTGCTTGCGGGATGTTTCACACACAGTCAAGAACGTTTCAGCCCCCACACACCTTGCCATGTGTACACATTCGTTCCTCACCCATCTTGTGAAACTTTTTGCTCCCCGCCCACCTTGACATAGATTTCATCTCCCCATGAGTTGAGCAGCTCTGTCCAGATAGCGTTCAGCTCCGCATGCTCCGTCACTGCGGGTAGGTGAGGTGGTGGGGTGGATGGGTGGGTGGGTGGGTGGGTGGGTGGGTGGGTAGGGAGACGGGGAGAGGGAGGGGAAGGCAGACTGAGCACATCACACCCTCCCTCCACCAGACTGAGCACCTCACACCTTGACATAGGTCTCTGTCTCCCCATGAGTTGAGCAGCTCTGTCCAGATGGCATTGAGCTCTGCATGCTCCGTCACTGTGGGGGAGGGGGAGGTGAGGTGGGTGTATTGATGGGGGGAGAGAGCGAGAGATGAGTTTGGAAGAGAGCAGAAGAGGAGGGGAGAGAGGTGCAGGGTGAGGGGATGGTAGGGAAGGCAGGATTCAGGGAGCATGTGACATGACACACTTGTGCATGCATCAGCGGAGCATCATATGCGAATCATATGGGCATTATCCACTCACAGCTGGAATTCATTGCATTAGGAACAAGGACGTGCATGCAATGAGTGACATGACCAGCCCACATGTCGTGAGTGGAGTGGCATCACATGCACACATTATGGGGTAATAGCCCTGTAAACCCATACCTTGTGAGGTAACTAGCCCCATGAGGTCAGACGTGCCGATGTAGGTGAGCGATGGATGGCTGCCCACCACCTGGGGAGAGCGAAGGGAGAAGAGGCAAGATGTAATGATGATTAATGGCATGATGATGGCATGATAGAGTGAGGGCATGGTGACATGGTGGCGTGATGGCATGCCAGGGATGACTTATCGTGGGTCAGGATGGAACCATGGCGTGCTGGCATGATGGCAACATGGGGCTTATACTGAGTTGACTTTTGAGTTGACTCAAAAGTCAACAGGATGGCACCATGCCGTGCTGGCATGATGGCTTTTGAGTCAACTCAAAAGTGCTGGCATGATGGCACCATGCGTACTGGAAAGGAGGTCTGCCATGCTCGTTTCCCTCGTCGCCACATCCCCCTCCCCTGCACCACCCTCATACCAAGCTGGCACTGGCGTAATCATCCCTAAACCCCCTCTGCTGCACCCCCCACCACCCACCTCGCTCCCCAGGCGGTTGTCCTGCATCATGCGTGATGGTCCTCATAACCCCCCTATACCGCACCCCACCGCACACCACCCACCTCCCGTCCAAGCCGGTTGTCCTCCAGCTCCGCGTTCAAAGACTGCACCTGCATGGATGGGGCAGGGGGTGTGTTTGGGATGCAAAGGGGGTGACGGGGGCACCGGGTGAGTGCAAGAGTGGACTTTCCAGTTGACTCGAGAGACAGTGGGCGAGTGTGAGAGTGCACAGCAGCAGTGCGTTGAGTGTGACAAGGGTGCGATGAGTGCCGTTTCGGATGTGATGCAGTAAGCCCTTTCTTGCACGCAGCCAGGTCCCCCTCGGAAACCACTAGGCCCCCTTTGCAGCCACCAAACCCCCCTAGCAAACCGCCAGGAGCCCCCTTTACAACCACCAGCCCCCCTTTGCATGCAATAGTTTTCCCCACTTCGCATGCAATGATTTCCCCCCCTGAGCACACAGCAACCCCCACTCGGAAGAAGCACCTTGTTGACTCTGCCAGCAGCAGTGAGTACAGCGACTGCTTGACTTGCCTATGGAAGAGAGCTACTGGGGGAGAGAGTGCGCACCTTGATCTTGTTGGCACGGCACACCGACTCTGCTAGTAGCAGCGAGTACAGCGACTGCTTGTCCGGCTTGGTGCGCTCTGTTTGTGCATGGGAGAGGGGCGGAGGGCAGGGGAGAGGGGATGGTGCATGTGGTTGTTGAAGGGAAGATGTTGAACACGCTACCCCCCATCCATGCATGGTGCCTGGATTTCAAGCTCATGAGGCCCAATAGACCATCACGAACACACACTCCCACACACACACATGCACTTCCGTGGTGCCAGGAGCGGTCGGAGACGACAATAATGGAGAAGGGCACGTTGTCAAAGAACATGTCTCCCCCGGCGGACACAAAGGGGTGGAACACACTGCCCACACAAAGCCTAACAGCCACATCACACACAGACGGGCACACCCACGCACGCACCTCCGTGGTGCCAGGAGCGGTCGGAGACGACAATAATGGAGAAGGGCACGTTGTCAAAGAACATGTCTCCCCCGGCGGACACAAAGGGGTGGAACACACTGCCGGGGTCCAGAATGGCATCTGTCAGATCTGTGCGACTCATGGGATTGCCCACCTGAGAAAGGGAGGAGAGAGGGAGAGGGAGGAGGAAAGATGAGCAAGGCGCCTGCCAAAGGTGTGCCTCATAGGATGGGGGTTAGGTTAGGGGAAGAGGGTTCACAAGGCGCCTGGATACTGCTCTTTTTCGCTCCTCTAAGCTCTGCAGACCACATGCCACATGCCATGCACCATGCGCCATGCACCATAGACCATGCACCATGCACCATCGACCATGCACCATGCACCATGCACCATAGACCATGCACCATGCACCATGCACCATAGACCATGCACCATGCACCATGCACCATAGACCATGCACCATGCACCATAGACCATGCACCATGCACCATGCACCATAGACCATGCACCATGCATTACATCGTGCACCAATTGATCCTGCCATCTGCCCGCACCTTGTGCACCACTGTAAGATTCCTGAGGGGTGTCCTGAGCATGCGGGCGAGCTGCCTCTCCCTCTCCTCCAGGCTCTCCTCGGCAGAATGACCAACTCGCTGCCTGCTGCTCACACATGCTCACCATTGTGCTCACGCAGGTGCGTGGTACGCACCTTGTGCACCACCGTGAGGTTCCTGAGGGGCGTGCGCAGCATCCTGGCGAGCTGCCCTTCCCTCTCCTCCAGGCTCTCCTCGGCAGAATGACCAACTCGCTGCCCGCTGCTCACACATGCTCACCATTGTGCTCACGCAGGTGCGGCGGTACGCACCTTGTGCACCACCGTGAGGTTCCTGAGGGGCGTGCGCAGCATCCTGGCGAGCTGCCTCTCGCGCTCCTCCAGGCTCTCCTCCGCCAGAATGACCAACTCGCTGCCCGGCCCCACATAGTCGTCAAACTCGCGGATCATGTCCGGGACACCCGTCCTCCATCCAAGCATCACCATGCGCTCCGCTCGTGCAGCCGGCTCGTTGGGCTGTGGGAGGCGAGAGGGGTATTGGCGCGGTTGGATGGTTGGGGACACAGGAGTGCAAGGGATGGGAGAGCACACGAATCAACACACTCTGCCCGGCCCCACTCTCGGATCATGTCCGGCACGCCTGTCCTCCATCCAAGCATCACCATCCTCTCCGCCCTCGCTGCCGGCTCGTTGGGCTGGGGAAGGGTAAGAAGGGTGCGTGGAGTTGGGGTCACACATGAGCTCGTGCGTTGCAGGTCACATGCAGGCCGGTTACATGTGAGTTACAGGTGGGCTACATGTGGGTTACAGGTGGGCTACAGGTGGGTTACAGGTGGGTTACAGGTGGGTTACAGGTGAGTTACAGGTGGGTTACAGGTGGGTTACAGGTGGGCTACAGGTGGGCTACAGGTGGGCTACAGGTGGGTTACAGGTGGGTTACTGGTGGGTTACAGGTGGGTTACTGGTGAGACGGCAGCATACAGAAGCAGTAGCAGCAGGCTGAAAGCTGACACCATCACTGCACAGCCTCACCTCGTCAGATCACCACCACACCCTCCTCTCCTCACCTTGAACTGGCCGGCATCTCTTGTCTTTAGCGCCGAGTCCCTGTGCACCCGGACCATCCCCTCACTCGAACCACCCCCCCGCCCCTCCCGCCCCCCTCGGCTGCTCTCTTGCTTCTGCCTGATCTGCGCTGCTTGCATCATGAGTGCTGGTGGGGGGTGGCGGTGCGTGTGCTTCAGAGCTATCAGCATCAACTGGTGGTGGGATGTGGAGGGGAAGGGAGGCGGAGACCAGAGAAGGAGGAGCAAGAATGAGAATTCGCTAGAGAGGGACGGAGGAAATCTACTCCCACCCAGTTGCTCTCCTGCTTCTGCCCGATCTGTGATGTCCTGCCTGCAGCATGAGTGCTGGAGGGGAGTGGCGGTGCGTGCGTGTGCTTCAGCGCTATCAGCATCACCTGGTGGGATGTGGAGGGGAAGGGCGGAGGCAGAGGGAGAGTGAGAACGGTGCCCCCCTCCCCTCAGCTGCTCTCCTACGCCTGCCTGACCTGTCCTGCAGCATTAGCACCGGAGGGAGGGTGGCGGTGTGTGTGCTTGAGAGCTATCAGCATCATCAAGTGGGATACTACATTAAGGGGGAAGGAACGCACTAAGCCCATTATTGAACTACTTCACACCCTATAACTCGGTTACCTAGTCAATATTTTCAGCTCAGGTTCGGATAGCCCACTAACCGCCTCCCACCGCTCTTCACACCTTATCGGTGCGCTGCATGGGGTCGGATTCTTTGGGGTGGAACTGCACCTTGCCGTCCCTAAATATGGCGCAGCACACTGCCTCAAGTTCTAATATCCCTCTCAACGCATCCCACCGCACATCACACCTTATCGGTGCGCTGCACCGGCTCAGAGTCCTTGGGGTGGAACTGCACCTTGCCGTCCCTCACTATGCCACAGCACACCGCCTGTGCGTGCACGGATGGGGATGGAGGTGGGAGGAAGAGAGGGAGGAGAGTGTTTCTAGGGTAGGTCAATACAGTCGACATACAGCGCTGCACCTTGCCGTCTCTCATTATGCCACAACACATGGCCTGCTCGAGCACGGATGGATTGGGGAATGAGGGTGGAGGTGGGAGGAAGAGAGGGAAGAAACTGTTTCTAGGGTAGGTCTATCCCACAGGCACTTTGCCGTCCCTCACTATGCCACAGCACACCGCCTGCTCAGGTGAAGGTTCGGTAGGTGGGAGGCAGAGGGACGGGGATGGTGGTATGGCAGGTCAATACAGGTGACGGCGCTGCACCTTGCTGCCTGCACAATTGACTTTTGAGTCGACTCAAAAGTCAGTAGGTTAGGTAGGTGGGAGGCAGAGGGACGGGGATGGTGGTATGGCAGGTCAATACAGGTGACGGCGCTGCACCTTGCTGCCTGCACAATTGACTTTTGAGTCGACTCAAAAGTCAGTAGGTTAGGTAGGTGGGAGGCAGAGGGACGGGGATGGTGGTATGGCAGGTCAATACAGGTGACGGCGCTGCACCTTGCTGCCTGCACAATGTGACACATACGCACCAGCATGAAGAGGAGCATACATTGTCCCCCGTTTAATACCATCATGAATCAGACCATGCAACATGACTCACCTCCGGGAAGCCCCTTCGCACAAGGCCATAGGGCAGGCCGGCAAGTGAGGGGAAGCTCCTCACGTTGATCACCTCGTCTGTGGGGGCAGAGGGGAGGCGAGGGGAAGAGAGGAGAACGGGGGAGGGTGAGCAAGGAGGTGATGTGGACCGTGGAGGCAGGGGGGAACGGAAAGGAGAGTGGGAAAGGTGAAATACACGGGTATGAGAGGGGAGGTGGCAGGGAGGAGGGAAGGGTGCACCCTGTCATCTACCCTCTCCACCCACACCCACCAGTTTGGTTTCTGAATGCCCCCACCCACCGGTGTGGTCCAGCAGCTTGCAGTACACGCCCACGAGCCCCGGCTGCCGGGAGCACTGCACCAAGAGCAGAGCTTGGCGGAGAGATTCTCCACGGCGCTCACGCGCACCTCTCTACATGTGCCCTGTACAATGCCTGTATATCCTCACCGGTGTGGTCAAGCAGCTTGCAGTACACATCCACGAGCCCCGGCTGCCTTGAGCACTGCACGAAGAGCTTGGCAGAGAGATTCTCCACGGCGCTCCCCTTCACCCCTCTACCCCACTCCCTGCTTATCTGATCCCCCTCTATCCGTGTGGCCCCTGTATCTCCTCACCCGTGTGGTCCAGCAGCTTGCAGTACACGTCCACGAGCCCCGGTTGCCTAGAGCACTGCACGAAGAGCTTGGCAGAGAGATTCTCCACGGCGCTCACGCGCACCTCCGCCATGCCCCGCAGCAGCGACCCCGTGCTGCCCTTTGACACCTCCGCCACCACTCCTGTGTTTGAGCCTCTTAGGAGGGGCTTGAGGGCGATGACTGACATCACCACGTCTGCATCGGCTTCGTAGCTGGTGGTAAGGGGGGAAGGAGAGGGGGGAGAGGTGGATATAAGGCGTTGAGAAGTGCTGCCCATTCCCCTGCGCCACCTTTGGAGGAGAGATTCTCCACGGCGCTCACGCGCACCTCCGCCATGCCCCTCAGGAGAGAGCCCGTGCTGCCCTTTGACACCTCCGCCACCACCCCCGTGTTGGAGCCCCTTAGGAGGGGCTTGAGAGCTATGACTGACATCACCACGTCTGCATCTGCCTCGTAGCTGGTGGTGGGAGAGGGAGTCAGGAGAGGAGAGGGAGGGATGGGAGCAACGAGAGGCGTATGTGTGATAGTGCTAGAAGGAGATTTGGCAGAAACGAGGGTTGGTGCTTACTAGTCGTCCTTGGGGGCCACGAGAATGACTGAGCGCGCCCTGTCTACCGCCACCTTGTAGAGCTTTGAGGCGATGCTGGGACATGCATGTATGCTGCTGGGACATGCACGCATGCTGCTGGGACATGCACGCATGCTGCTGGGACATGCACGCATGCTGCTGGGACATGCACGCATGCTGCTGGGACATGCACGCATGCTGCTGGGACATGCACGCATGCTGCTGCAGCTCCAGCAGGGGGGCTTTTGAGGCGCCTCAGAAGCCATGCTGCTGCAATGCTAGCAGGGGGTGTGCGCGCAGCAGGAAGCAGGGCACTCACTAGTCGTCCTTGGGCGCCAGGAGAATGACTGAGCGCGCCCTGTCTGCCGCCACCTTTTTGAACGATGCAGTGCTGCTGAGCGGGCCGCTGCAGTGATGCGGAGCAGAGGGACGATGGAGGGAGAAGTGGGAATAGGGGAGAGGGGGAAAGAGAAAGGGGAGAGGAGATGGCAGAAAATGAGGGGGCCAGTATGAGGATGATCATCAGATATGATGTGCCGATTAGAGGGTCATCTCGAGCATGCAAAGATGAAGGAGGGGTGGCAAGCGGTGGAGAGAGATAAGAGGCGAGTGGCAGAGGTTATGAAGTGTGGGCTTGGCCTGGAATTGGCATGGCAAAAGGGTAGTGTGTGGCAAAAGGGTAGTGTGTGGCAAAAGCCATGTGGAGGCACCTGCGGATGAAGAGGTTGATGTGCTGGCAGTCCTTGAGGTAAGGCGACACTATCTTCTCCGTCTCCTTGCGCGGTAACTCTGTCAGCAGCAGCACCGTGCGCTTCCTAGGGAAGGGTGGGGGGAGGGGAGAAAGGCCGTGTGGGGGCATGTGCGGATGAAAAGGTTGATGCGGGGGGCAGTCCTTAGTCCTTGAGGTAAGGCGACACTATCTTCTCCGTCTCCTTGCGCGGTAACTCTGTGAGCAGCAGCACCGTGCGCTTCCTGGGGAAGGGTGGATGGGGGGGAAGGAAGGGAGCAGAAGGGCGGTGGTGCGTTGAAAGAGAGGCAGATTTTAGAGGTGGTGGGGCGAAGAGGAGCAGCAAGAAGTGCACATGGGCGAGGGAGCAGGCAGCGGCAGTGCTTTGGCATGACAACAGCCACCATCGTCTATGGGAGAGGAGGGGCCGTACTGCACTGTGGGGCGGGCGGGTGGTCCATTGTGGGGCGGGTGGTGCACTGTGAGGCGAGGATGCATGGTAATGGTAGTGATAATGATAATGGTAATGATAATTGTAATGGTAATGGTAGTCGTATCGTAACAGTAATGGTAATGGTAGTGGTAGTGGTAATGGTAATCATAATGATAATGGTAGTGGTAGTGGTTGTGATAATGGTAATGGTAATGGTAATGGTAATGGTAATTGTAATGGTAATGGTAATGGTAAGCATAATGGTAATGGTAATGGTAGTGGTAGTGGTAGTGGTAATGGTAATGGTAATCATAATGATAATGGTAATGGTAGTGGTAGTTGTAATGGTAATGGTAATGATTGTGGTAATGGTAGTGATAATGGTAATGGTAATGGTAATGGTAATTATAATGGTAATGGTAATGGTAATGGTAGTCGTAATGGTAATGGTAATGGTAGTGGTAATGGTAGTCGTAATGGTAATGGTAATGGTAGTGGTAATGATAGTGGTAATGGTAATCATAATGGTAATGGTAATCATAATGGTAATGGTAATGGTAGTGATAATGGTAATGGTAATGGTACTTGTAATGATAATGGTAGTTGTAATAGTAATGGTCATGGTAATGGTACTTGTAATGATAATGGTAATGGTAACGGTAACGGTAATGGTAATGATAATAGTAATGGTAGTGGTAATGGTAGTGGTAATGATAATGGTAATGGTAATGGTAATAATAGTGGTAATGGTAATGATAATGGTAGTGATAGTAGTAATGGTAGTGGTGATGGTAATGGTAGTGGTAATGGTAATGGTAGTGGTATTGGTAGTGGTAGTGGTAATGGTAGTGGTAATGGTAATGGTGATGGTAATAGTAGTGGTAATGGTAATGGTAATGGTAGTGGTAATGGTAATGGCATGGCATGCGGCGCAACCATGGCAAGCGGCACAACCATGGCAAGCGGCACAACCATGGCATGCGGCACAACCATGGCATGCGGCACAACCATGGCATGCGGCACAACCATGGCATGCGGCACAACCATGGCATGCTGCACAACCATGGCATGCGGCACAACCATGGCATGCGGCACAACCATGGCATGCGGCACAACCATGGCATGCGGCACAACCATGGCATGCGGCACAACCATGGCATGCGGCACAACCATGGCATGCGGCGCAACCATGGCATGCGGCACAACCATGGCTTGCGGCGCAACCATGGCATGCGGCACAACCATGGCATGCGGCACAACCATGGCATGCGGCACAACCATGGCATGCGGCACAACCATGGCATGCAGCACAACCATGGCATGCGGCACAACCATGGCATGCGACACAACCATGGCATGCGGCACAACCATGGCATGCGGCACAACCATGGCATGCGGCACACCCATGGCATGGCAACTGCCGCTGGCTCTCGCTAAGCAAACACTTGGGAGGGTGGACTCTCCAGCAGCACAACCACAGCATCAGCTCCACAAGAATTTCTCCCCTGCCCACCTGGTGATTGCAGAGCCGTCCTGCACGGCAAAGTGCTGGCTCTTGCTGAGCACACACGAGGGCAAGGGTGGAACGGAAAAAAAAAAAAAAAACAGTACCATCCGCAGCACCACCATACGAAATCAATCAACCTTTTCCACCTGGTGACTGCAGAGCCGTCCTGCACGGCGAAGTGCTGGCTTTTGCTGAGCACACACGAGGCGAGGGCAGACTCACCTGCACGCAGCACCACTTGCAGCTGCAGCTGCAGCAGCATCACCACAATAACATCCTTCCCCACCTGGTCACTGCAGAGCCGTCCTGCACGGCAAAGTGCTGGCTCTTGCTGAGCTGGCGCAGCAGCGTGGCGAGGCGGTTGTTGATGCCGCCAATCACTATGTGGTCCCGCTCCATCACCTGGTGGTGGGAGAGACGGGGACGATATGGGGCGTGAGAAGCGCAGGGAAGGGGCGAGGTGCAGAGGGGAGGGGTCAGTGGTTGACGTTGCACCCACAACACAATAACTGGCCCGGGTGCTGCTAGCCCTCCACGCAGCCAGCCAGCACAGCACAGCACCGCACAGCACAGCATTGCACATCACAGCACCGCACAGCACAGCACCACCAAAGCACAGCACAGTACCGCACAGCACAGCACAGCACACCTCCAAGGAAAGCACAGAACCCATCTCACCTGTGAGTGCGCGCCTTCCCTGAGCCACTCCATACGCAGCTGCTCACAAGGGGGCGGGGTGCGTAGGGAATGAGGAGGTGGAGGTGAGCAGTGATAAGCAGCGCAGAGAGAAGGGCGGGTGGCGACTGGGCGGGCCGGAGAGATGGCTGAGATGGAACACTTGATGAGCTGCAATGGGACACTGTCACACTATGCATGGGCACGTGTAATCACACCACACGCAGGTTCACTCACGAGCATGTGCACTCACAAGCAGGTACAGTGCAGTCACGAGCAGATTGGTGTGTGTCACGGGAAGGGAAAAAGGGTTAAATGAAGGCGAGGAGAGAGAAAAGCAGAGAGGTGAAAGCAACGCTCGACTTGAGAAGGGATTCAACGGTTGAGGTTTGAGGTTCACGGTTGTTGAGAGCACGTGAGACAGATAGCACAGGAGAGCAGGCGCCCCTTGAACTATGCAGTCATGGTGGAGGTGAGCAGCGAGTAGAAGAAGAGGCATTCTCTCAACGCCTCACAGAACAAGGTGTAGCGGTTGAGAGGAGAGGACACGTACCTTGAACTGTGCGGTCATGGTGGAGGTGAGCAGCGAGTAGAAGAAGAGCCCTCCCAGCGAGGTGACTTGTGAGTCGACTCAGAAGCACACACACCTTGAAACGAGAGCAGCTGGGAGCACACGTACCTTGAACTGTGCGGTCATGGTGGAGGTGAGCAGCGAGTAGAAGAAGAGGCCGCCCCGCGAGGTGACTATTGAGTCGACTCAAAAGCACACACAACTTGAGCTGCGCGGTCATAGTGCAGCGGTTGAGAGCACGTGAGAGCAGGCGCACCTTGAATTGCGCGGTCATGGTGGAGGTGAGCAGCGAGTAGAAGAAGAGCCCTCCCAGCGTGAGCATGATGCCTATCACCCTCCCCTCCTGCGTGCTCTCCTGCCACACCATGCGAGGGAGGGGGACAGGGCCGAGGGAAGAAGACGATTGGCATTTGCAGATGGAGACAGGAGTGAGAAGAGAGGAGAGAGGAGAAGCAGCACAACCAGAACAGCAGCCACAACCAGCAGTGCCGGCATGCAAACAAGCAGAGGTTACCCTAAAGGCTAGCAAGGTGCTGCAGTATGAGTCCCACTCAGAGGCCAGGCCAGAACGAGTGCCTCGCTACCAAGGTGGTTGGGACAAGCTGTAGTAACCACCAGCAGCACCAGCAAGAGGACCTAGAGGTGCTGGCAGGACGAGAACACATTGCCCCACGCAGCCCACAGCACAGAGCTAGCAATAGACGCACTCAGGGAGAGTCAGGGAGGCAGGGTCAGGGAGGTAAGGCAGGCAGATGGCTGTGAGGCAGCAGCAGTATCCGGAGGTGCTGGTGGGATGAGCACACATAGCCCCACGCGTCCCACAGCACAGAGCTAGCAATCGATGCACTCAGGGAGGGTCAGGGAGGTGTAAGGCAGGCAGATGGCTGTGAGGCAGCGGTAGTACCCGGAGGTGCTGGCGCGACGAGCACACATTGCCCCACGCGTCCCACAGCGCCTCCCCAAACGGCTCCTGCGGCCGCCTGCTCCTCTCCACCGCACCCCACCGTACCTCAACCGCCACACGAGACGAGACCGCCACACACATGCGTGCACAGGGGGAGAGGAGGAGAGAGGAAGAGGAGGCAGAGGGTGAAGAGGGTAGGCAGAGGAGGGGGGGTACCTTGAGGTGCGAGCTGGACGACACGAGGGCGGACCACGCGTCCCACATGTCCTCCCCCAGACTCTTGTGCCGCCTGCCATGCCATGGCCCCATGTGTTTAATGCGGTTAATGCAGCATGAGAGCAGTGCCATGCAATGGACGCAAATGCAGTGCGGGTGCGAGCTAGATGACACGAGGGCGGACCACATGTCCTCTCCTCTCCCAGATTCTTGTGCCGCCTGCCATGCCATGGCCCCATGCGCGGTCAATGCAGCGAATGTGGTCAATGCATTCCAATTGATGATTGCAGTGTAATGGACGCGCATGCATGCACTACAATAGTGCAGTGCCAAGTTATGGACCGTGGATCTATGCACATCCTACAGAAACAAAAGGGTGTCAACAATGCCAGGCACACGGCTTAATGCTTGTCTCACGCACACGTAAAGCTTGTGTCAAGGGACAGAGAAACGTGCAAATACGCGAGGCTTGTGTGTGGGAGGGGAGACAGGCCCAGGGGGAGGGGAGACAGGCCGTTGAGTACGAAAGACTAGTTGGCTTGGCTGGGGTCCAGGGCAGTGCAGTGCGGTGGAGAGGAGAGCAGGTGGTGGTTACCGGAAGGTGTGGAAGAGGAAGCCGCCGAGGAATACAAGTGTGGTGCACATGGTCATGAGCAGCATGATGTACCTGGCGTGGGGCATGGGGCAAGGCATAGGGCATGGGACACAGGGCGTGGGGCATGGCGTGGGGCATGGCGTGGGGCATGGCGTGGGGCATGGCGTGGGGCATGGCGTGGGGCATGGCGTGGGGCATGGCGTGGGGCATGGCGTGGGGCATGGCGTGGGGCATGGCGTGGGGCATGGCGTGGGGCATGGCGTGGGGCATGGCGTGGGGCATGGCGTGGGGCATGGTGGAAGAGGAAGCCGCCGAGGAACACAAGTGTTGTGCACATGGTCATGAGCAGCATGATGTACCTGTAGCGGGGCAAGGGGTATCGTACACAGGGCATGAGGCATGGCGGGCAGGCGAGTCGCGTGGTGTGGGGAATGGTGTGAGGCATGGCGTGGGACATGGCGTGTGAAGGGGCGCACATGATGGGATGTCGCTGCAGCTGCACCTCCCAGGCGTAGCAAGGGACGCACACAATAGGGCGTCGTTCCAGGAGCACATCCCAGAGGTACTGCACGCGCGCCCACCGAGTTGACTTTTGAGTCGACTCAAAAGTCAACTCAATGCTATGCTATCTCCGAGCAGAGAAAGAGATATAAGAGACGCACACGATGGGGTGGCGTTCCAGCACCACGCCCCAGAGGTACTGCACATCCACGCGCCCACGCGCGCCCACCGAGTTGACTTTTGAGTCGACTCACTTAAAAGACGACTCGATGGTATGCTATCTCCGGGTGGGCAGATCAAAATGCCTAAGGGGCAAACACAATGGGGTGTCGTTCCAGCAGCACGTCCCAAAGGTACATTTTGAGAGAGGATGGGAGGTCCAGGTGGGAAGAGACACGCACACAATAGGGTGCCGTTCCAGCAGCACGTCCCACAGGTACTGCACGCGCGCCCACCGCCACTCCCTCACCAGCCGCCCCCACGGGCTCCCCGGCGACAGCAGCACCCCCATGCCCGTCTCCCCCCGCCGCGGCCCCTGCTGCTGCCAGTCCTGCGCGCTGAAGGATGAATCAGAGGGGCTGTGATCGCCCCCCAAAGAGCTCTGGGGGTTGTCAGCGTGGGTTTGGGCTTCAGACTGGGTGAAGAGGGGCGCGGGCGGCCCCACTTGCAGCCGTAACTGTCCTTCCACTGGCCGGGGAACCCACTCTGACGTGGAGCCAATCATGCGCTGCCACATGGACGCTAGGTTGGGGGATGTGGCGGCTAAGGGAAGGGATGCGGTCCTTCGCGGTGGGGATGGGCGGGTGGATGGGGTGGCTGTAGCAGAAGCGGCAGGGGTGGTGGTGGTGCTTGTCGTGTTGATGGTTCCAGTTTCAACAGCAGCAGCAGCAGCATTAGCACTGCTGTGATTATCTGTGGTGGTGCAAGCAGCAGCGGCAACCGCAGAGCCAGGGGAAGAAGAGCCTTCCTGCTTGGTCTCTTGCGAGGCGGTAAAAGCAGAGAGCGTGGCTGCTGTGGCCGTTGGGGGGGCGAGGCGCAGTCGTGTGGGCGGGCAGGGTGCGAGGGGGGATGCAAGGGCCGCGAGAAATGGCGCAGAGAGCAAAGCGAGGGCCTGAAGGGAGGGCGGAGGGAGAAGGACAAAGACAAAGGACACATTGCATGATCAGATTGCCAAAAATCACAATTCGTGCATATCACGTCGCGTGGCCAGGCTGAATCTCTATCACCACTCACCAATGTCGAATTCCGCATATGCCACGTCAGCTGCTCCTTCCAGCTTTTGCCGTTCACGCGTGGCTCGGGCTTCGTGCCACTGCAGGATGTGCTCGTATCAGAGCTTCTTCCGCTGTGGCTCGTGTCGCTTCGGCAGTTGTCGGAATTCCTTCTTTTTAAATTAATGTCAGTGCTCGAATCGCCAATCGCGTCTCGCTTTTTATTGGCTCCTGCGTCGTTGCTACAGCACTGTACGTCAGCGCGCCTCATACCATCCGACCTGTTGACCTCGAATCCTGGTCTTATAACTTGTACGCTGTATGTCTTGCGACGCTGGTGAAACGCGCTAGAGGAATGGGGGAGATTTCTCTGAACGAGAAATGGCCTTTTGACCACGAACTGTGTCACGTCAGCAGGACGAACTGCGCTCTGGAAGGACGTCATTTCGTGCAGCACAGAAGACGACACGTGGATTTGACTTCGACAGTGACAATCAGTGACAGATGGCTGGATACGACACGACATTGCTGGGGAAACGACGTGCCTTGCGGAAGCAGACATTGCGAATAAATGCAGAACTCCTAGCGACAATGCATTTAACTCGCGCAGCTAAGGGTCAGCTACGCATTTCAAGAGTGTCTGTGCGGCACTCCTGAAGTAACGCAAGCTTGCAAAACTATGGTATTGGTAGTCAAGATGGAAGTGACAGTCGAGGTAGAGGCAGATGAGAGGAGCATGATGAGCGTCATGAAGCGGATGTTCAGACGCGGTCAACAACAGGGGAATGGTGTCGAAAATCGCGCGGGAAAAGGGTGGCATTGGTGTTGGCGTCTTCAGTATTGCCGGCTCTGGCAATAATTGCCGGACGTTACTGTACTGAATACCATAAGTTCCACACTTTCGTTTTGCTTCACTTATCCAAACCCACAACGCAACACAATAGTTAACATATTTGCCACTTGCAAATCAGGCTAGGCAGACTTTTGATTTTCAATGGTATTCTTTACGTCAACAAAACCCCAACGTTATTACTGGGGTTTCTTGTGCCTGTCACAGTTCCAATCCAGCACACAACTCATCCAAGCGCCCAGGAAAACAAACATGGCTTGTATTTTCATGCAACCACAAGGGAGTCAGAATCGCTGCTGCTGCCTCCAGTTCTAGGACCAAACCCCCGACCCTCAACTTCACCAAGAGGCGCATCACCACCCTCCACACCAGCCACATCCTCCCCACCATCCCCACCCTCCCTCTGCTCCCCAGAGTGCCACCAGCACCCGCCATGCCCCTCGAACACGGCCTCAGCACGCACAAACCCCACCACGCGCCGCTCCTCCCCCGCGCCCCTCTGCACAGCCTCCTTGGCGAGCCCGTAGCGCATGCGTGCACTGCCCGCCACCACTGCCGCCAGGGGAGTGCGGCGCGAGGAGAGGAGGAGAGCGGCTTCGGAGACGGTGGAGAGGCAGGAGAGCGACGGCGGGGGGGGCAGCATGAGGTGCGAGACGAGGGTTGTGGGGTCCTGGGGTTGGGGGAGAGAAGAGTGGTATGGGTAGGAGGGAGGGGTATGATGGTTTAGGGTTGGGGAGAGAAGAGTTGACCTGGGGGTAGTCTTCGAAATAGCCCCATGATTTGTGAAGGTGAGGTGAAGTTCGACGGAAGATGACGCTTGGCAACTGAGCATCATATGACCCTTATGATGTATTATGATGTATATGACGAGCCAAGGCATGTGGGCCATGTGCGACTCACCATGGCATGGCTTGGTACTCTCAGAACGCCCACGCACTCATCAGCACCGTTGATCACCGGGATGACGTCAGCGGACATCAGATCTGGCCGGGCTGACCTCAGCTCGGCCAGTGACTGGTCAGGGTGGGCCACTGCCACGTCAGCCAGGGGAACCATGACAGACTGCACCGTATCACGCAGCGACAGCTGGATGGCATAAGGACACACAGAGATGGAAAGACGGGGAATAAGAGAAAATGGGAGGGGTGTGGTTTGGTTGAGAGGAAAGTCGGTCAAGACTGATGGGTCAGAGAAAGACTGTGCGAACGCGGAATGTATAGGCTGCAAGGGCGGGGAAGACAGTGGAGTGTGGTGCATGGAGAATATGGTTCACGCATGCACGCGCACACACACACACACACACACACACACACACACATACGCGCGCGCACGCACGCACAAACACACACACACACACACACACACACACACACACACATGCGCGCGCGCACGCACGCACAAACACACACACACACACACACACACGCACACACACACACGCACACACACACACACATGAAAAGGGTGGTTGGAAGAATGTGTAGGGAAAAAGTACAGGACAGCCAGGCAGGAGCTAGGTTGAGAAAGAGACGGGGAGAGGGGAACGGAGAAGGGAGGGTGTGAGAAAGATGGCGGCACACACACACAGGGAGTGAGAGAGAATGTGTGTGGAAGCTTGAAGGAGGGACAGAGTGTAAGAGTGGGAGAGAGAGAATGAGTGGAAGAGTGAGAGAAAGGATGAGGAGGAGAGAGAGAGAGAGTGGAAGGAGCACCGTTTTGGGCACCTCTTGTCTGATGCCGATGGGCGTGAAGCGCTCAAAGCCCGCCCCCGTTGCTGCCATCAGCTGCACCACCGCCTGCCAGGAGCCAACAGGATTCAAACATTCAATAACAGCGGTCAACACGAGTCAACGGTAACAGTCAACAGAGTTTGACAAGCGTCAACGGCAGATAACAGAAGCCAACAACAGCCGATCCCTTTTCCATTGCCATGGAAATGGCATGCAACAGGTGAACGAACGGAAGTTGCTGTTCCGATAGAGCAAGGCAGCATGCTGTGAAACCGTATTTACTTCCATGCATGCATGGAACGACCTGCCATGACACAGTCTCTCCACTTCACTTCCTGCCCAGTCCCTACCCGCACGCCCCTAACTGCATGTGCGGCTCACCTGCATGCGCGCTCACCTGCATGCGCGCTCACCTGCATGCGCGCTCACCTGCATGCCGCGCAGGGACATGCGCAGCTGGTGCCCGTGCATGGCCTCCATCTGATCCAACAGCCGCGCTGCCACACCCATCTGGAAGAGGACAGGGGAAGAGGTTGGGAAGAGAGGGGGGGCACTTTCAAAAACAGAGGTTGCAGCAGCTGGTGCCCGTGCATCGACTCCATTTGATCCAGCAGCCGCGCTGCCACGCCCATCTGACGCAAGGGGAAGGGAGGGGGGAAGAAAAGAGTGAGGAAGGGGGGAGGGTGGCCCTTTCAAGTCCACTGCGATGCTCCTGTTGCACAGTGGCAGCAGGAAACTCAGGAACAGAAGGCCCAGCAGCTAATGGCCGTGCATGGCCTCCATCTGATCCAACAACCGCGCTGCCACGCCCATCTGACGCAAGGCAGGGAGGGAAGGGAGAGGGCATGGCGGTCAATGCAAGATTGCATGTTAAAGAGTAGCACGTCTGGGCAGCCTTCACAAGGAATCCTCTTGTGCATGCATCACTTCGTCCATTTATGGATCACTCCCCGAACATTTCATCCCCTAGGTGAGTCTGGTGAGAGAGTGTCTTTGCTCTGAGGTGCCCCTAAGCTCACCTCGCCCGCCCGGGTGGCGGCCTCCAGCACCAGCTCTGCCGCCTCCGCCCGCTCCTCCGGCCACACTCTGCCGCCCGCGTCGCGCACCAGCCGGGCGGCGAGCTGCTGCGTGGACGGCAGATCGCCGGCGGCAGCTAGCGAGCGCATGAGGGAGAGGAAGACGTGTGCTCGCGGGCGCATGGAGCGGTCCGCTCTCCCCAGCTCCTCTAGTTCCGCCATGCACTGCAGCGCGTCTGGGGGGGGCAAAAGGGGAGAGGGGGGGAGGGAGCGCGGGTGGGTGGGGGAGAGGCAGCGAGGGAGCGCATGAGGGAGAGGAAGACATGCGCCCGCAGCCACATTGAGCGGTCCGTGCGCCCCAGCTCCTCCAGCTCCGCCATGCACTGCGGCGCGTCTGGGTGGAGGAGAGAGGGGTAAAGGGCAGGGGGGGTGTTTGAGTAAACTCAAAGGCCATTGAAGCTGCATGGCTCGGTCTGTCCCCCCCAGCTCCTCCAGCTCCGCCATGCCCCATGCCCTGGGTGGAGGAGAGGGAAATGGCGGAGGTGGGTGGGGGGGGTGTGAGGAGAGGGGGGAGAGTTGGCAGGAAGCAGTGGAAAGCAGTGTGTGCACGAGGAGAGAGCACGCACCCAAGGCATGGATGACCAGTGTGGCTTGAGGTTTTGAGGTGTGCCATGTGGTGCATTGCGTGTGTGTGGAAATGAAGAGGGGCGATGCGGTGGCACTGCGGAGTAGCCCATGCACACACTACATGCATCCATCCATCCATCACCCATACATCCATGCATACCACGCACCCACGCATAAACGCACCCACACACACGCACAACCACGCGCACCACCCACATGCACCTTCAGGAGAGCCGACAGCAATGTAGGCATCAATTATGGCCGTGTAGGCCACGCGGTCCATCACCAGCGGGTTGCTGCTGCTGCTGCTGGTGGCTCACTGGCACTGCTGCTGCTCACACCCATACATGCATACATCCATACACCCACACACCTCCCACACACACCACCCACACACACCACCCACACACACCACCCACACACACCACCCACACGCACCCTCAGGCGAGCCAACAGAAATGAAGGCGTCAATGATGGCCGTGTACGCCACTCGGTCCATCACCAGCGGATTGCTGCTCGCCCCCCCGCCGCTGCTGCCACTGTTGCTGCCACTGTTGCTGCCATCAACCACAGCACTGTCACTGCTGCTGCTGGTCACGGCGATGACAGCACTGCTCACGCCCTCTTCCCCCCCAGCAGCCGCCACACCAGAAGGCCCCTCAGCTGCAAGCAGCGTGCGGCAGTGCGGCTGGGAGGGGCCGGCAGGGCTGCGCACACAGCTGGCGCGCTTCATGTCCGCCACCACGTCCCGCAACGCCTCTATGTCGCCCTCCTCCGATAGACCCTGGGGGATGGGGATGGAGGAATGGGTGGGGACGGGGGAGGTGGTTGGGGGAGGGGGGAGGCGGTTGGGGGAGGGGGGAGGTGGAAGGTTGGGAGGGAGAGCAGGAGTGGGTGAATGAGTGGGGTGGAAGAGTTAACACAGCTGGCGCGCTTCATGTCCGCCACCACGTCCCTCAGCGCCTCGATGTCGCCCTCCTCTGATAGACCCTGGTGGGGGGAAGTGGGGCGGAAAGGGTTGAGGCGGGGAGCGAAAGGGGAATGACAGCTGGTGAGAGCAGAGAAAGAAGTGAATGGAAAGGGCAGGGGAAAAAAGGAGCGGGCATGTGGGCGGTGCTGTATGCGGCAAGGGGCAAAAATGGATTTCTCCAGAGGCATATCAGGGACAAGGGTGAACACGAGGGGCATGGGTGAAAGGTTCAGGTGAGGGGCGCACCTTGATGATGGTGGTGTATGTCAGGGCGTCTGGCAGCACGTCGTCGTTGCCCCTCCTCGTGGGTGGTGGTGTGTGTGCGGCACAAGGCATGGTTGAATAACACCAGAGGCACATTAGGGGCATGGGTCCGCAAGAGGGTCATGGGCGCACCTTAATGATGGTGGTGCAGGTGACGGCGTGTTTTGAGTCGACTCAAAACATGTGAGGCAAGGGCCGTGCTTGTAGGCGGGGCCAGATGAGGGGCATACCTTGATGATGGTGGTGTAGGTGACGGCGTCTGGCAGCACGTCGTCGTCGCCCCTTCTCAACGCCTCTGCCTGCCAAGAGACATGTCGCATGGGGGTAAACATACACAGTCATGAATACACGCACATGAGCGTGTGCATGCACATGCACGGGAAATGCACTCGCATGAATACAATACACACGTTCTCACCTCTTGACGCCGTTGCCAGATATAGCACAAGGAACGGGTTATGTGCCTGCCTGCAGCAGATGATACACTTCACATCCTGCACCGGCTTGCGTGGCCTGTCACGCCCCTCACATAATCATGCCCTGCAAGGGCCCATGTCCCCTGCGCCCACGCCCCCCTGCGCCCACGCCCCCCTGCGACCATGTCCCCCTGCGCTCATGCCCCCCTGCGCCCACGCTCCCCACGCCCACGCTCCCCACGCCCACGCTCCCCACGCCCAAGCCCCTTGCGCCCACCCCCCCGCTCGCACCTTCATGTCTTGCAGCAGGTCGAGCGCGCGGTCCATGTCACCGGCGCGCACACAGGCGAGGATGAGGCAGTTGAAGACGACGCAACCCTCACGCCCACGCCCCCCTGAGAGCACCTGCACCAGGGCCCACGCCCCCACCCTGCCCACGCCCCATGCCCCGCCACACACCTTCATATCCTGCACTCATGTCCTTCCCCCTTTCCTGCATGGCCCCCCACGCACCTTCATGTCTTGCAGCAGGTCGAGTGCACGGTCCATATCCCCAGCACGTACACAGGCGAGGATGAGGCAGTTGAAGGTGACTCGCTCCCACTGCAGCCCCTGCACTCATGTCCCCCCTGCGCCCACCCTTTCCCCACGCACCTTCATGTCTTGCAGTAGATCCAATGCGCGGTCCATGTCACCAGCGCGCACGCAGGCGAGGATGAGGCAGTTGAAGGTGACGCGCTCCCACTGCAGCCCCTGCAGGTGCATCTCCTCCGCCACGCTCAGCGCTTCTAAAGGATTGTCCGACCGCGCGTAGCCCTGGCGGAAGCGCGGGGGATGGGCAGGGGGAGGGGGGCGGGGGGTGAGGGGGGATGAGGATTGACCAGGAAGGGGGGTTGAACGGGGAATGAGGATGGAACGAGGGAGGGACGGGGGGGCTGAAAGGGGGAAGCGAGAGGACGAGGTAGTTGAAGGTGACGCGCTCCCACTGCAGCCCCTGCAGGTGCATCTCCTCCGCCACGCTCACCGCCTCCAGTGGGTTGTCCGACCGCGCGTACCCCTGGCGGAAGCGGGGGGAGTGAGCGGGCGAGGGGGGTAACCGGGGGATGGGGGATGGCCATGGCGCGGGAGGATGGCGGAGAAAAAGAGAGAAAGAGCATGAGTGTAATGAGTGAGAAAGAGAAAAAGCGCAGAGACACTAAGTGAGGCTTGGTCCGAACATTGTGCGCACCTTGAGCAGCAGGTTGTAGGTCACCTTGAGCAGCAGGTTGTAGCGCACCTTGAGCAGCAGGTTGTAGGTGAACGCGGACGGCCCAATAGCCCCCGAGAAGGCGCGCTTGTAGCGCTGCACGACGCTCATGGCGCGCCGAGCGTCCCCCGCGTCCGCGCACGCGTTCACGAGCGTGTTGAGGTGCACCGCCGTCAGCTCCGGCCGCCCCGGCGCCGTACCGTCCTCCATCGCCTCCAACACCTCGAACGCGTCGTCCAACCGCTTTGCGCGACCGAGACCCTGAGGGAAAGGAGGGGGGGAGGCGCGCAAGGGGGTTAGAGGGTGTTGGAAGAAGCAGCACAGCGCAGAGGTGCCGAAGGTGTCGACGCAGAGAGACGCACCTTAATCCAATAGCGACTCTAAAACCAGAAAAAAAGGCCGGTGGGGCAAGGAGACGCACCTTGAGCAGCGTGCCGTAGGTGATGGAGTCGACGCCCGTGCCGCCGTCCGCCGTCATGTCGTCGAAGAGGTCGAGCGCGCGGTCGATGTCGCCGCAGTTCACGCACGCCGCCATGGCCGCATTCATCGTGATCATGTTCACCGCCTTCCTGTTGCGCTTCGCGTCGTCCAGCAGTTGAAACACCTGCGATGCGATGGGGTGAGGGGTACACTGCGATTGAAAGGGATACGCGCGCGTACACGCCTCAAACTCCCGCAGTTGACGCACGCAGCCATGGCGGCGTTCATAGTAATCATGTTCACCGCCTTGCCGCTTCGCGTCCTCCAGGAGTTGAAACACCTGCGCTCAAGCGGGATGCGAGTCTTCAAGACTCGCACGATAGTTTGTAGCCAATTCTAAGAAACATTTGCAAATGAGTGGGATACTTTCTGAGAATTCTCAAAAGTGACTCCAATACTGCAGATGAGTAGGATACGGGGTCACAGGTTGCACACAGCTGCAGCTGACGCACGGCACAACGGCAGTCGCATCAACCCCTCCTCTCGACACCGAACTGGTCAACCTACACTCGCGCTTTACTCTTCGTCGGCCTTCTACTCGATGCATCGCGTCCAGCCATTAACGCTTAATCCACCAATCCCTCATATCTCTTGACAACCTCCATTCTAACCTCCATCCCTTCTATCTATCCGCTCTCCAGCCTCGATTCCTCATCCACCTACTTCTTATCGAGTCAACCATCGGGTCATCCATCTAGTCAACCCCTGACTGCCGGGATTCCTATCTCCGATCCCTCCATCTATCACGATCTTCTACCTGGTCCAGCTAGCGCCCGTTGCCCAGCCTTTAAGTCGACTCAAACGTCATCCTCTTCGTCCCATTCTCTCTCTCCCCCTTCTCTACCTGGTCCAGCTGTCGCCGTTTCCCCAGCTCGACGATGCGTCGCGTCAGCATGCGCGCCTCGCCGGAGCTCGACTCGCGCTTCTTCCGCCAAAACGGCCACTGCGGCTGCGCCGGCGGCTCTATCTGCAATGCCTCCGCCAGCCCCTCCGCGCCCCCCTTCCCCCGAGCCTCGCGCATTGCGCGCTCCACCTCCTTCTTCCGCCGTTCCTCCGACAACAGCTCCGCCGATGGCCGCCTTTGCGGGAGAACCCCGCGTCTCCCCCCCGGCCTTTGCTGCTGCTGCGGTCGGCGCTGCTGCTGCCATCCCTGCTGCGCCTCCCCACTGCCTGATATGGACCCCGATCCCCCGCTATAAGACCCGCCAAGCGACAACCCTGACATCGAAATCCCCACCCGCGCTATAGTCACCAGAGCCCGCGCGCCCTCGCCCCTGTTTCGCCAGCTCCGCGCGTAGTTCGCACCTCCGCTACTGCCACCGTCGCTCCCGCCGCTAGCAACGGCATGGCATATGCCCGCTCTGGCGCCTCGGCTGCGGCCGCATTCGGCGGCAGCTCTGGTGCCAGCTGGCACGAAGCGATCTAATTGTTGATCTGAGGGGAAATCGACGGACGAGCGTTGATGACGGTGTGATAACGACGGGGAGAAGCTAGAATCCAACGAGGGAACGAAGAACGAGGAGGATCCGGAAGCGAGAGAGGCCGTGTCCGCGAGGCGACGATGAAGGAGAGCCGTCGATCCGTGAGACGCCGCCATGGTCACCGTCAGTCAAACCTAGTCAACGTCGGTTCGAAACGCCGTTTCAGTTTGGACTAGGAAACTAAAGAAAGGCGGCGCATTCATACGAGGGCCCTGGGGAAGAGGCACGCTACAGCATGGCGCACGGACAAGCGCAGGGCAGGACAAGCCGCTGACAGCAAGCAGTTGTGAATCTCGCGGCTGAAGGTCAACTCGAAGGACAGAATGTGGAGAGAATGCTGGGTGCAACCCCTTGGTGCGTGCAACACACACAAGAGGAACACACCAGCAACAGAATGGAACAGCAGGGTCGACAACTAGAGTCAAGAGGGCCTGTCTGGCTTGCAGTCACGAGTTCTCCAGAGGAACGGGAGCACTAAGGCGAAACACAGGACTGACAGAACCGACAGTGCGGGAACAACCAGCCCAGACCCAGACACGGACGGGCGAGCATGGGATGTGGGGAATCTCCACCTGGAGGCCTAGAAGCTTGCTACCACTCGCGCGAACCCACGTCAGCGTTTCTGTATCTGACCCCGGCGGCAGTACCAATGCTCACTCGTGGGCTTCCCACTCTTTCGAACGAAATCGAGAAATTGTTGGAAGAGCAGCAATTTCTACGTTGCATCTACAGTTCGAATTTTGGTTTCCATATGGCACCTGAAACCGTACTCTGCATTTCAATCTGCAGAGAACCGATGTTCCGAGATTACCGTGATTACTAATGTGGGCAAAAAAAAATCTTGTGGAAAAGCTACTAGCTAAAAGTAAAACTTCTTGTGGCATAACATTGAGAACAGGGAAGCACCACTGCAAGAGGGGGGAGTCCCTCATTACATCTCACAAATACAACAGCAGCTGTCCAACCTAGCCAATGCCTTGGCCTGCCTATGCCCTGTGGCCCTGCCTGTGCGAACTTCCTCCCCCACGGGCAGCAGCACGCCTGGCTTGGCTCTCCATGCCTGCCTTGCCCTCTAGCACCACAAGCAACCTGCACGTCAGTCCTTAGCACGTGTGGGGTGGGGTGGGGGCGCAGCGCTCTAGGCGGCGGACTTGCCCTTCTTCTTCTGCATCTTCTTCACATAGAACTCCAGCTCCTTGCCCTCCAGGATGTACCTGCCCGTCCAGCCCACACACCAACACCACATGTCAGCAGCCAACCCATAACCCACATCAACCCATCAATCACAGGTGCTTGTAACGGGTACGAAGGGGCAGCAAGGAGAGCGGGGTCAAACCGAGTACCTAAGGTTCATAGAGGTAAACGGGGGAGGCCAAAGCAAAGCAGAAGAGGGGAGCACGGCCAGGAGCAGGAAAGACACTGACCCGTCGCAGCGGCCGCACTGGCCGGGGCGGGAAGCGATGCAGGCGTAGAGGCGGCCGGCGGCGAACTGGTCCTCGAGGTGCGGGTCGAGCTTGTGCGACGCCAGGCGCTGCTCGTGCTTGCGCTTCACGTGCGCACTCACCTTCTTCACCTCCTCTCCCGCCTCGCCCTCCGCCTTCTCCTCCTCGCCCTGCCCCATGCAGCACCGGGTGGGGGGATGGAAGGGAAGTCCGTGGGATGAGTGGGGGTGGATGAGGGAGGGACCAAGTGAGGGTTGGGGTGGGATAAGGGGTGGATTGAGGGGGAGTATGGGGTTTGAGAGAAGGATAAGCGGTCGAAGCGAGGCGGTGTCAACAGTGCTAAAACCGAGTTCCTGAATTGGCATGCGAGTGCACTTAGTCAGTCTTGGTATGGTTGCACAAACCACCGCTTCCCTTGAGACTTCTCCTCTCCGCAAACCCTCCCCTCCCCGCAAACCCTCCCCACTCCGCCAACCTTCCCCTCTCAGCTAACCTAACTCCCTCCCGAGCTTGCCACCCGGCCCTTTGTCCCTTCGTTGCCCAACTGCTACCCCTTCGTCGCCAGTTCCTTCACCGCTTCACCGCAAATAGCCCCCCGTTTACCCCCCACCGCCGCTCCCTCTCTTCACCCCGCACCCTCTCGCGGCTCACCTCCTTCTTGCCGGCCTTGGACTTCTTCTTGCCGAGGTCCACGCCGTAGTGCTGCTGGTACCACTGGCGGAACGGCGCGGCGTCGACCTGGATGATGGCGTTCTTCACGAGCGTCTGCGTGCGCACCAGCTCGTTGTTGCTCGCGTTGTACGCCACGTCCAGGATGCGCGTCTTGCGCGTCACCGACTCGCTGCCCCACGCGTAGTTGCCCGTGTCCAGGCGCAGCGCGCGGAACTTGTAGTTCCCGCCGCGCACGCGGATCCGGCGCACAGTCTTGTGGCTGCTGAGCTTTGTGTTGGCCGCCTGCCGACCCAAGTCATACCTGGCGCGACACGGGCGGAGGGGAAAGGGGGGGAGGATGGGGAATCGGGAGGGAGGGAGGGGAGAAGGGGCGGAGAGAGGGGTGGGGGAGGGGGGAGACAGGAAGCAGGAGAGCGGACATTGAGAAGGCGGAAGAAATCCGCACGCCACAGAAGTGCACTCGGCGCACCAACGACACTCTTATGGCTGCTGAGCTTCGTGTTGGCCCCCTGCCGAACCAAGTCATACCTGGCGATACGCGGACGCGCGTTCGGGACGGGGAAAAGAAGGAAGATTGGGGAAAAGGAGCGGGAGGGGGAGGGAGGGGGGGGAGGGGGGGGGGGGGGTTGGCGGGGGGTGGGAGGGGGAGGCAAGGAAGGGAAGGGGTGGGAGGGTGGGAGGGGCAGGGAGAGTAGGGAAAATGAGACGATGGGGATGGAGGGAATGGGAAGCAGGAGACAGAACAATGAGAAAGAGGCGAAAGGATCTTCGTGCGACACGCGCGCTGGGAGCACCATTGACCTCTGTCCGAACTGTGCGGCGGCTGCGAATCGCACGCATTGACCTGTGCGGCTACAAAGACTATCCATCCGAACCAGCGGCATCCGTTTTCGAATCCCCAAGTTCCTTCCGCGACCTCAGGAATATCTTAATCCGACCTCCTCCCCCACCGTCCCTCACAGGTTCACCAACCAACTCCTCCATCTATAATCCTCCATCCTTCCTCCCTCCATCCCTCATCCTCCCTGCTCCTAGGACACAGGTGAGTACTCTGCCGGTCGCAACTAGCGGGACACAGAACTAGCTCTAATGGAGACCGACCGCCTTGGAACAGTCAGTACGGGATAAGGGAGACCAGCAGTCCGTGGACTCAACGCTCTTCTCAGAAAGAATCTTTTAACCCAGTCCGTATGGCACTCTAGAATCAAGGCTCGGGCCATCATCAAACAATCGCGCGAACAGCGCATTTCTTCACCAATCCAAAAATCGCGCATGAGACACCGCGACGACACGCAAAAAAACTATATACTAATTTAAGACGTTGCGAAACGCGTAAATAGAGGGGGTGGGGGAGGGGGAGGGGGGGGGGGAGGAGAGGGGGTGGGGGCGGCGGGGGGACGTGGGAGGGGAGAAGTGAGACAGCGGCTTGCTTACTTGCGCTTCTTGTGCCACGGCTTCTTCTTTCCTCCTGTTGCCCGTCGCTTGTGCAGCGAGTCACGTGAGATACCTGTCGCACACGACGGCAGACGCGAAGACGCGGAGAGACGGAGGGACAGAAACGCGGGAAGAAGCGGCACACGAGAAGGGTGGGGTGGGGGAGAAACAGGAACAGCGGGGGGAGACACAGGGAGGAGCGAGACAAGGCGAGCATGCTTAGAACGAGGGCGCAAACAGTCTCTGCGACGGCAAGGAGGATTTACGGCCGTGTGACAAGCCAATGGCCTGGAAAGCACCCTAATTCTTGCTACGCTAATGGCCGCTTCAAACCCTAATTTCTTGTGAGCACGCTGGCGCCTCAAATGCGCAGTACGCGATGAATCCAGTCATTCTGAACAACGTTTTTTCCAATGCAACCGTCGTCGCGAGCGTTAGATCGGTTTCTACACCGCGCGGACTGATCGACACTGTCCAAACCCAATCCAACCACCACGTTCGCCTAGAAGACAGCCCTACAAGACATCAAGACGAGAAGATCAACCAGATTCACTAACATGACTAAGATCCGCCCTGCTCAACCGTTTCCGACCGCTCCAAAATGCACAGCGACAACCACCGATCTGTAAGCATCGACTCAGGGCTTTCTAATCCTTATGAAAAGGCGAGTGGAACACGCTGACGATAAGCAAGATCGAAAGCTAGGGTTAGGGAGTGGGAGCGTACCCATGGTGGGGAAGGATCAGAGCCGTGCAGCCTGATAGAAACAGGAAAGAGAGCAAGTAATGGCGGTCAGAGCAGCTATAGCGCTGCTTGCTGTTGTGGCTGGTGCTGCAGGGGTTGCAGGGGGTGGGTGCGGGCAGGGGAAGGGGAGGTGGGCGGAAATAGGAGTGAGGGAAGAAGTGATATGGCGATGTGGCGGAAAAAGCAGCGGAGCGAATCAACACAGGAGCGGGTGGGCGGGGGCGGGGATGTCAGGTGATGAGGAATTCGCTGAACGATTTTTGGGCTCTGCGGAATGCTAGATGAAGCAACCCAACTAGTACTAGATTTGATGCACAGTATGGATATGGGTCGTCTAAAAAAGAGGGAAAGATTCATGCACATTGATTGTTGTTGACACTATATACCAGCCCTCAATAAATAAAACAGCTCTTCAAAATTTGTATAATTATGCTAAAATATATGGCATGCATTGTCAAACATACATTTCAACACGCATAAATTAGTTTGATTGCTTTTATCAAACTGTTGGTGGTACACTACTTTACACTTGCCTTGCTTGTATGTCTTTCCCTCCCATCCTAGTCCAACCACTCTTTTTGAAATTGTATCAAAGTTTAATATACATTGACCTTCTCCTCTTATGGCCTCCTCCTCTTATGGCCCCTCTCTCGAGAGGCCTATCGGGGGCCCATCTCAACCGCCTCGTCGCGGGCCCCGTCGCGCCAGACGCAAACACCCCATCATGGCCCTCGTCGCAGCCTTTGTCACGGTCTCGTAGCGCCCCCCTTTCGCGCCTTGTCAGCCGACTCTCGCCGCGCCCGTCGTGGTCCCCGTCGCAACTC